CTTCTCTTCCACTTCTGACAATCACGTATCAGGGCCAAAACGTCTTGCGGCATCAAACATGTTTCATGAGTCTCTCCTCGATCCAATTGAGTTGCATTTCTGTCAACACACACACTTTAGTTTCCCAAGCTCAAGTCTACTGGACTTGAATAAAGCAACTGGGCATGTTTCAAAAAGCTTGTGTTATTCTTCCAGCAGGAAATGAGACCAATTTTGATAATCGCTACCCTTGGCTGGGATTACCCCCTACATTGTCTTTTTTCGGCAAGATTCCACCAGGTGCCCAGTTTGCTGATGACCTCTTGCCAAAGGTCCACATCATATCCAACCCTGGAGTCAAAAAGCCTCCAGAAATCCTAGAGATCTGCATGCGCATCAAATCCCAAAGGATTTCCAAATCATGGGGTTCATCCGCGCGGAATCCCAGAAGTTTGTTCCGCAGAAGCCACGAAGCGCCGAAGTTCGAACAGCCTCCAAACAAGGCTTTGCCGCACTCTTGGCAGTGTCCCTCCAAGATCTGAAGGGTTTCATGGAAGATGAGAAGCGAAAGGATTCTGTGGCCAGCCAGCCTCCTACAGGTGGCTCACAAAAGAAAATAATACGAAAGAAAAGACGACCCCGTGGTGTTGTGAATGTGGGGTTTGATTCTTCCAAATCTGTTGATGTTTCTTCTTGGATAGGACTTACGATCATTGTCTATTCCGAAAGCAGGTCAATTGACCTTCACTCACTAGACCAGCTTAGAACTATATATATATGCAGTATTATTATGTATTATTGGTATCTTCATTTGATCAAATCAAAATCAGCCAAGCAACTGTTAAGCAACTCATGATTTTTCATGATTTTTCAGTTTACCATGTTTTACCCCAAACTCGATGGGCACTTGTAGAACCCCCTCTAGTCCCCATCGAGCAAGGGTCATTCACCACGCGGTCCCCGCTGCAAGCGAACTGCACGATCGACTTTGGGGGTTATGTGCGGTTTTCTCCCAGTTCAATGAGACGAAATGAGACTCAACCCCAATAAGTCGGTGGTGATTCATGTGCTTTCAGAAAACCAGCACCAATCCAATGCTTTCTTCCCACTGATCCAACAAATCCTGAAACATGACGAGCACGGGCCCGAAAAAAACCACTCCGAACATGTTCAGTCCTAAATTCACCGCCCTAGGATTCGAACCATCATCGATTCAATAGCCTCAATCCCAAACAACCAAGGATTGTCCACTACAAAGGCAGGTAAAGTCAACCATTCTTGTAGAATTCAGAATGGGTCTTCGAAGGATAGGGACCACTTCATGTCTCATCTTCCATCCTCCGAGCGATTCAGCTCGGCGACGGACGTTGCAGACTGAGCAATCGTCATAAGAAACGCCTGAGACGATGCAATGGTCCCGCAATGGTCATACCTCATGAGGATACATTGCAATTCAATGTCATTGAATTATGTACTGTATACGTCTTGAGATGAGGATACATAATTCACGCATACAACTTAAGATGAGGATACATAATTCATGCATACGACTCATAATTCGCCAGTGCCATGTCCCTCTATATAGTATTTTTTAGTGTGACTCGCCAATCCAAGGATCCAATCCTTTTCTTTCTCCTGATCAAAAGACCAGTGTCAACCCAAGAACATTGAAAATGACCATGCAAGAAACATATGTGTCAAACGATCTCCTGTTCCAAGAACCCAAGAATCCTCTGTGTCAACTGCTTGCCACTCTGCTGGCCTTCACGCGTCTAACTCACGCATCCGCGGGGAGTTCAAGCGTCGGTCATGGGCGCTGACCTGACTGGTCGAGGCGATAGAGGAAAGCACTGGACCGGCACTGAACCGGTCGAGGTTCGTTCACAACTCCCCCCACCTCCAAGTCGATGCTCGGTCGAAGGTGAAACATCCCACGAGTCACATGGAGGCGGTGTGCCTCGTCCCAAGGGCTGTGGATGTGACAGGGGCAAATCCTCCAAGTTCGGCACCCTTTGTGACTCCTGGATCTTAGAACAACGTGCCACAATCTTTGAGCGGATTTTAGCCGCTCGTTCCTTGGAACGTTGGAAACCACCTCAACCCCCCAAGCGATCTCACCCCATGTTCCAATCCGCCGTCGGACCAATCCGCCTTCTGCAAAACCGCTTGAAAGGGCGCCCTTTCCAGAACGGCTGAGTAAAAACCTGGAGGCCCAGGTCCCTGGTCGGTGGACCATGCTTTGACCTCCTGAATTTTGTGAAAAAATTGAGAAACTCCCATGTTGAGCCTCCCGGCATTCCCTCCATCTCGTTGGTGGCCACCACGGGTGTGGCCACTCGACGATACCTGCCGAGGTCTCGTGCCATCCGAAAGCCACCTGGCTAAGCCACTGGGTCCGGTGGGTGATTGACCTACCAATGTACACGAAAAACGGAACACACACATGCCACAAAATTCCGCAGCTCATGACAGATGGGCAACACATGACACATACATTACTATTAATTGTTTGTTTGTTCGCCGATGTTTCCCGTGTGTCTTTCGTCCTTCCACTTCACTGATCCGTTCCGCTTCGTCGCTTCGTCGGACCCGTCCCGCACTTTCCCGACCGCCGACCGACCGGGGGGGCCCAGAAAGAGACCGACCACCGACACCGATGTTTTATACCGACTTCTCTTGATGGGGTAAAATAACAATGGGATATATATATGTATATATACTTCTATAGGCATTTCATGTATGCCGATATAGCCAGACTTCTCTTGACGGAGCAGTTCTCCATGAAGAAAGAAACCCCTGGGATCAAGACCCAACCACCCTTTGAGTCATGAAATTGAAAAAGAACCCCCCACCAGCAGAACGTGGCTTGCAACAACACAAACAGAGTTTTTACCAAAAAAAAAAAGAACTATAAAAACATATAAAAACTCCCAAAAACATCCAAAAAAACTACACCATTCACAAGGAAAGCACAGATGGTTTTTTTTTCCGGGGGTATATTGGGTGTTCGTTCGGTATGATTCAGACTGATAGTTCGTGCCCCTGAACCCAACAGTCCGCTGATCCTCAACGAGATCTCCGAGCTCTCGTGCCTCCGAGCTCTCTCTCGTCACGTGGCCAGGCGTCCCCTGACACCCTCGGGCGTCCCGACCGTTGGTATGCCAACACCCCCAGGCCCAAGAAGAGCAAGCCATTCTCCAGGCCCATGGCGGTGGAGACACCTGGGGGGAAAAAAAAGAACATGCGGGAAGAAGATGGAAGAAGAAGGGAAACCGTTTCAGTTTGGAGGGTGGTGGGAAAATCCATCGAACATGAGGATACCCTCAGAAACGGTGTAAACATCCTGGATTAGGGGCCTCATGACAGGATTGATGAGAGCCCTGGTAGGGGATTCGGCAGGCTGTGCGTGTCACCAGAGGCCAAGTGGGACCTTCACACTGTGCTTGAAGGGACCAAAGGCGCGCTTGGGCAGAAGTCATCCTCCACCGCGCCCACTAGACCTCCGACCTCCTTCCAGGCTGGTTTAGGGTCCAAGGATCCTCTGAACAGCAACCAGGCCCTGGGGGCTGGAACTGCATGTTCCCCCCACGCAAGACTGCTAAAGGTCTTTTTCACCCTTATTTAGATGTAAAAAGCTTACATCAGAGAGGTGTTCGCCTTCAATTCCAACCATACCATAGGATCTGACCTTCCAACGTCGGGACCTTCACTCCAACGGACAGCCCTGTGCGGATGGCCCCCACCTGTCAACTTGCTCCGGAGGCTCCTGGCTTCCACCGACGAAGCCACTTGGCACTGTCCTGGATGCACGCGCGCTCTCTGCGGGCGCGCAGCAGGTGCGGAGAGCGTGCTGGCAACCCATTTGAGAACCACTCATGTACCGTGGCCTGTATAATTTGTCTGTACCGCAAGACCGCAATCATATTTCGATCTTCGGTCATAGTAATTTTTGTTGAAACCCCATGTGGCATGCACTTGCATGGAATCGTCGTATCTTTGCCTACCGCTGCCTACTTCAGGACCTATCCGTTTAGGCCATTCCGCCGACTGCTTACACCAAGGCTCAGCAGCGGCAAAAAAACAAAGCCGAAGGTTATGAAAATGTATGAAAGGTTTCATGCTGATGATGCGCACTGATCAATGATGATGAAGGAAGGTGTAAAAGCTGAGGACCTGAGGAGACAGAAAAACCGGACCTTCTCCAAGAAAATGCCACCATCCTCCACAGATGCCCCCCTCAAAAGCGCCCAGTCTTTCACCCCCCAACAACGGCACGTGCGTCGCGACGCGCCAAGCGCGGCGCTCCGACGATGCTGTAGTTCCCGTCGCTGCCACAGATCGCCGAGACAGCGCCGTCGTAGCCGTGAAGGCAGCTGTAGGGCACGTTCATGCCTCTCAGGGCCCGGCTGTGAGCAGGGCAGGGTGCAGGGTACGGGTGGGCAGGGGTGGTACTGAAAAATGTGACAGTTATCCACTATAGACTCAGAGCGTATGAGTCTAGTGGGTACAGCAGAGTGACATCGTATTTGGGACCGACTTCAAAGAAGCATTTTTGTCCTCAACTCTACAGACTCAGAGCGCTTAGGAGCATGTGACCAGGGTAAGAGCATGTAGGAGCTGAAAAGAGAGGCCTGGGGAGATGGGAAGTCCAGAAATTCTGGATCCGCTGGTCGTCCGACGCTCACACATCAGCCGCATTCCGCACGAGACGCTTCCGGGCAAGAGAAAACAGTCATGTAGCGAATTACCCTGTTATAGTTTCTGGGCAATTTAGGATGTCATCACCCCCAACCACTGTTATGTTAAAACAAACAAAGCCCAAATAGATCCTAAATAGGTTCGAGCTCGCCCATCAGCTTTCTTCCCGTGTTAACTTGTTCGCCTGCCAACCAGCCCACTGCAGGTGCCGCACTTCCTGCACTGGACGCTGGCGCCGCGTGTGGCACCGCCGGGAGCTGGTCCGAGCACTCGCGGCGGCAGCGCCCCAGCAGGATGTACTGGCTATCCTCGGGTCGGAGGTCCCTCACAGCCCCAGCGTGTCAACGCCAGTTTCACCGGTTGGGTTTGAGCAAAACGAAAAAAATAACCTGTGAAAAATGAGGTCTTGGAAGTTGGGTCGGGTGAAATTCTGACATGCGTCCTTTATCGGAAACGCACCAGTTGAACCTGTCTTTTGGACTTGCTGTCAACATATGAATTCACAGAGTGAAATCCATATTGTTCAAAAAAATCATGTTTTGTGGTGAAGGAATTTCCAAGACCTGGTACTTGACTGGAAAAAATGTTTGTCCTTCATTTCTCGCATCTCAGATGGCAAAAGATTGCCGGTAAAGGAAATTTCACAACAGGCCTCTCTCAGGAGCCATGCCACTGAGTAGCAATATGGAGGTTTGTGAGTATACAACAAAAAACGTCTATATAAGGCTTCCCAGTGGAAAGGTCATCCGAACAAAACCCCTGGCCGTCAAGATTCTTTTCTGGCCTAGATCAGAGTTCTTGCCACCTTCCAATCTGCCTATCTCTCGGAAAAAATATATGGAAAAAAACTGAACCCTCAAGATAGCCATCATCTTCGTAGCATCATCCCTGCAATCTCTGCTCTGCTGTCCCGTGACGTAGCCACACATGGCGCTCACCGTGCCATTGTAGCCTTCCTCGCACTGGTAGCGGATCACCTAGGCCATTAGGCCAGGCCACACAGGAAAGCTTCTGGTGTCAAATCGCCGAGGCAACACAGACTGCGAGTTCTTCCAGAAATGCATTGGCAGATATGTGGGATGAACATGATGATGACCCTCAGTTTGGACAACGAGTTCGTGTCGTTCGTGTGTTGTCCAATGAGGATCACTCCAACCCTCCCGCACCTCGGAAGACGTACGACTGACTGAGTCTGATCCGGTGGAATAGATTCAGGATGAAGCGCCAAAGCCGCATGGAATGGAGTTGCGTGTCAGAATGGAATGGCTGCATCGGACCATTCTAAATTGTTTTAACCCCCCAAAAGAGTTCTACAAGCAGCAGATAGCCTCAAAACATATTCCAATCATGGAAATATCATGAAATATCGAACCCAAAGTGTTTCCCATGTAGTTTTTCACCTTGCTTTGGTGCTGGTTTGGGGGGAAAAGACCTCTCACTTGTAGATCCAAACCAAATCTTGTTACTAGAAGCGATGCACTTGTTTCTAATAGCTTCTTGTTACTACTAGTAAGGCACCTGTTCCTAGTAGCGTGGCACTTGTTACTACTAACCAACCATCCCAACCCACCATGCTGGCACGGCACCGTGCCGGCCGTCACGTTCTCCTGATCTCCCAACGGGCTCGCATGGTCCACGGCGGGTGGCGCTGAGCAGTGCACCTGACAGCTGCTCACAACAGGCTGTTCGTCTTTCCCTAGGAGATCCCCAAGTACCTTGTCAGAAGGTGATTGGTGCCAGGAGGGTCCAGTCCTACCTTTTCAGAAGGTATATACAACTGGATCCCTAGGGTCTTGAGTTGGGTTGATGTCAGAAGCTCTGATCTTGTTATCAAGTGGCAGATGATCTTTTGGATGGTGCGAACAAATACTTGCCAAGAAGAGCCTGACTGGACTTTCTTGCGCGCGCACAAGCGATGTCACCCTGGTGAGTGTGTGATCGTTCTTTGAACAAAACATGCACGTTTAACTCCCATGGCCACTCACTGACTATTCTATTTTTACTATATGATTTTGAGACTAGCTCAATAGACCCGAAGTAGATAGAAAATGATAGAAAAATAGCCACTATCTATTCACACCGCTTCGCCGTGTGCACAGATTAAATGGATAATGTGCAGTAGCACCCCACGAGGATACGGGCTGGTTACTGGCGTGGGAAGCAGCAACTTGTGCTCTGAGCGCCGGGAGGAAGCGTTGTTGAGGGAAGCGTGCTCTCTACCACCTACTTTCCTCCACAATAGCTGTCGACGACGCGATATCAATCGCCTATTTCCCGACAAAATGGCTCTGTCGGGCAGATCTGTCGAGCAATCATCCCTGACGAACACACAAACACACGATGTCAATAAAGCACTGTCCCTCGGTGTGCATAGCCGACATCGCGAACACTTAGCTCCGAAGCTATACAGAAAACCATACAGGGGATGTCAATGTTTGACAATCAAAAAAGCCAAACCCCACGTTCTAGACACCCCCCCAAGCTAAAGCTTAAGCTGTTTATCTAGCAGCTGATCCTCCTGGTTGATTGATTTGCTCGAAGCCTATATATATACAACGCCTCAGCACCTTTGCTGCGGGAGAATTGGACGCACATGGACCCCGAATCGGATTCCTCTCTTTACTCGCCTCCACGCAGGTGCCATTCACCTCCCAGCGACTGGTCGAGAGGCACGTCGCCAGCAGCTGGCCGTGGAACCTGAGACCGAGTCCGATTCCAATTGGCTGGAACATGGTGGACATGTGGAGAATCTATTTTGAAACAACATGCCAACAAAAGACACATGTTGTGGTAATGAACCCGGCTGTGGGACATCTTTAAACAAAAAAACAGTTCACAACTGAGTTTTCGAGACCTACTTTGACATGCCCGCTGCCAGGCAGAGGTTCTGCTGGCCAGCACTTGGAGTGCGACTGCTGACCACGCCATGCTACCCCAAAAAGGAGCGTGGGGCGCTTATGCAATACATTCCTCACCAGGAGTCGAACTTGTTGTGCAAAAATGGTGGAAAGCACACATCCCTGCGGTGGAAGGTTATGGCTGTTGAGAATCTTACAACCATAGATCTGCTTGTGGATCTGGCTGATTGAAGTACAAAGCTTCTGAAAGACTCTAAGCAGGGGCAGGGAGGTTCAAGTCCTTTTGACAAAAAAAACCACTGTGCCATGCCTCGTCTTGGTGGGACAGCAGGTGTTTGAGTGGCTGAAGGCTGAAGGGTGTGGAACAAACGTCGAACAACCTCTGCGTGGAGCGTTGCTTTGGGCGAAGCTTTGCACTTTCGGTTCGAACGAGCAGCGCTTTTCTTGACTCTGGCCGCCTCTTCACGGAGGTGCTTCTGTCTTTCGGTCGCAGATCGCAACACCGCAACACCTGTTCGAATGGTCCTTCTGCACACCGCAAGCGACAACCACCATCACCATGGCCTCCACCTGCTGTTCATATATAGTGCCCATTCCCCTGACCCAACCCACCCACCCACGTCACAGTCACTCCCCCCAACAGAAACCTCAGATCCCCCAAAGGGCGGGTCACAGATGATCACAGGCCCCCCGTCTTCCTTCCTTCCGTCCCCCACGTCTTCCGTCTTTTCGTCGACACGTGGGGATTCCAGGCCTCGGCGCCTTGCAATCGTAATGGACCAACGACCCAAAGCTGAAGTTCTGCCTCAGAACCCGGGCGAGGGAACCGCCACGGACCGCTGCGCGACGGACCGCACCTGCGGTTTGCCATGTTGTGGGCGACGCTCGGTGACGGCGGGTGAGACAGAGGGGTGGAAGAAGTGGCCAGGACAACCGGCCGTTTGGATGGTCAAGGCCAGTCCTTCTTGAACGGATTGGTCAAGAGAGTGACTTGGAGGTACCTTCTACCGTCGACCTGTTTCAACCGGACAGGGAAAAGGCCCCTTTGGTGGTGCGTGAAAGGAAACACAACGCCAATTGGCTCCTGCTTGTCTGTCATTCCATGTCATTCTCAATTCCCTGGAGTATTGAGGTCAACGTATTATTTATTCTTCAAAAGTCATGTATAAGTGGATGGCAATTCTTCCGTCGAAAGACCATTGTTCCGAATACCAAACAGGGGATGACGTCATGGATTGTCCACTTCTTCCATGGGCAGTTGGAGGGAAGGTAGTATAAGTTGGATCTATCCTGATAGCTGTAACAGTGCATGATGATAATTGTTTACTGACTCTTACAGGTAAGTTCGGACAGACCCTAAGTATATAGGTCTTCCATGGGTTTTCTGAAACCTCCAAGCTGCTTGGTCACATCCTCCATCCGTGCCGTCGCCTCCGTGCCCGGCGCTCAAGAGTGCCGGTGGGGGGTCAGAAGCATCCATTGCGCTCTTCAATTCATCCAATGGGATTGAACTGCGAGCGGGACATGCAATCTTGAGATACCTGGATCCCTAGATCTTCCAACTGTGCAAAATTTGTGCCTTTTCATCCATAAAACCAGCCCAAAGGCAGAAATTTGTCACAGTTGGAAGATCTATATGTCCTAAAACCCAGACACGACCTCGGTCTTGATCAGAAATGGCCATGTTTGGGGATAGTTAGTCGCTGGGTCATTCAGGTTGGATAGAAAATATAGGGAAGAAAAAAGACAAGGTCGGCCCTCACCGGGTCCAAACATAGGGTTTTTCAAGCCCATCATCGCCCATCGGTCGCGTTTCATTGAAGTGGTCAACTGTAGAACTGACTGTGCCAAAAACGTCGTGTAGACGAGGTCCCCGCCTCCCCGGGTCCGCAGATCTCCCGACCCAACATCCCCCCACGGTCCGCGCGTCCGACGGTGGAGTTCCACCGTTCCGCGATTCCGACCAAGCCGGTCCCACCTGTGGCAGCTTGGGTGGAGTGCCGCATAGCACCGGAGCACAATGCCCTGAGACGCTGTAATTCCCACCCTGCCGCTGCGAGGCGACAGGCTCAGACCCGCGAGAACGTCGGCTTCATCGGAGGGGGCTCGGTGAAGTCATCAAGTTGACCGGAGCACTATGAAGGTGCAAGTGGATCGGATCTCAGAAGGTGCAGGTGGTGGAACCCCAACTTGGGTTGATTCGGAACCACCTGGACCTCGGAGGACCAACTGGTCGACTCGGAAACCCCAGAAACGACTCGACTCAATCCAAGAGAGTCTACGGATGTCGGTTCTGGACTTCATCCAACTCCCACACGAAACGACTCCCACACTCGGAGTGACGCGCCTGGATTCCAAAAACATCCGAAGACCCATCCGAAGACACTCCATGTATATATGCCTACATTGGGTGGTTTTGGGGGCCAATTGATCGGCATATATGGCAGTCCCATGGAGTGTCTGGGATCCGAAGACTCATCCGAAGACAGAACGTGAAGAGGTTTGGCCCAAAACCGCGAAGACCACGCAGAGTCCCAGCCTGGCTCACCTCCATTCTCACCAGACTCACAGACCCCCCAGACCCGACTGAGAACTCCGAACTCCTTAAAGAAACGCAGAAACCGTGGGAAAGGAGAGCGAAAACCTGCGAAAACCATGCGAAAACCAGGAAAACCATGACTCGAATGGCTGAAAATTCCATCAAAAACTATGGTCAACTCCGAACTAGTGTAGGCTGCGTCAAGGAATCAACGCCCCGACATGGGTATCGGTCTTACCATCCGTCTTTGCCATTGCCTTTCGTTCGCAGTAGATTCGTAGTGTACATAGCCCTGTTTGACAAGTGTCACCATAGTCCAGCTATACCCACCCGTACCGGCCCGTACCCGCCCCACCTGAGGGCAAGGGACGGTTGGTTTTTGAGCGAGTCCGCGGACTCCGCGCATCCAAAGCCGGGGTGTTCGTTCATTAACAGTCTACATCAATTAGAAACCACTTCGTTGAGCCGTTGGAGTCTTGAAGGTTTATAGTCCAAAAACATGGAATGAAGAATGATGAAGATATACTCTTCTATGCTGTATATGACCCCAGCCTTCAATTCCACCCTTAAAGAGTTTAATTAGTCCAAAAAATACCCCTGTCCATCCTGTCCATCCTTGTTGTACCTGATTTGGACCGTCCTCCTCGCAGAGTGCGGTCACATAGCCCTGGTAGCCTGGGGCGATGCTGAAGGCGCCCGAAGGCTGAAGGAAACATCGAGACATATCGAGATCACAATCCATTGGGACGGGCATATTCACTCACATTGGGGTGCTTGGTTCAAATGATTTGCACAGGGTCAATGTTTTTGGGTCCATCTACAGTCAAAATATTCCACCTGGCCAGAAGTCCCGAACTAGAAATCAGTCCGTGCTATAATACTAACTAAGCTTGTATCTTTGATGAAGCCAAAGGCCGCGAACTTCGGAATTCCGGCCTGGAGCCGTTCAGTGGTTTCACCCGTTCACTCGAACACCCAGTTCACTCGAACAAGAGTCCACTTCTTGCCAACATCGCACTTTTGAAGTCTTGCCGAAGCATGTGAGGAGTTCTTTATCTCTCCGAGCTGGTTTTCCGGGCACCTTGACATCACGCTGTGGGTCATGGAGTCATGGCACCCATTTCGCCCAGGTGCATCAAACCCTGGTAGGTTGACCGACTCGTTAGGTCACACAAAAACGGTGCCCGGGTGCCATGGCTGCGACCCTTCAGCCACTATATATACTAAAAGGTTCACGTCTCAGTTTGAGCAGCCGTGATGGTTTTTTGAAGTCGTGCATGACCTGCCAGTACAGTTCACAGGTCCTCAGGTTCTAGTCTCCTCATCCTCAGAACAAGCTCTACTCAGCCAAATCATTTCGACTCGCATGGCAGGAATTCAACTGAGCCATGATGATGGTGGATAACAATGTCATTCAGCATCAGCTCCTCCCAAACACTCAAATCGCTCCAAAACCCACTTGTTCTTGGACTCATTAACGTGGAAGTGAAAAAAAAGAACAAGTGTTACTTACCAGCAACAAATAATGGTCTTGCAGGGGTCCAGATCATCCACATCAACATCCTGTGAGTGAGCCAAGACATGCTGAGATCTGGAGGAGTTGGGGCGCCCACTTTGTGGGAGGCTCTTGGAAATCCCTCAAAACCGTCTGCAGGGACTGCACTCTTCGGGCTGCAAAGGACCAGCCTAAAAGCGATGGTAACCGTCCCAGGTCCGCCACTCAAAGCTTCAATGTAATTTCCTCAGATGTCTTCAAGAGCGGACCCCAAGAACCATGCCGCCGCCCGAAAACACCGAAATCGCAGCCCCAGTCTTCTTTCACGTTTTGGGGATCAAACACCCAGCAGTTGAAAAGGAATTCTGAGTCCCATCCAGTGGAAGTTGGATGTTCAGGAACCCGCGCCCCACCCCCACCCGTTCGGAACCCCCACCCCACAACGCGGTCGCGGTCGCACGGAACGGCGCCTGGGTCGCAGACATAAGGGCAGCGCATGCCCACGAACCAGCCGCTCTTCGCCTCCGTGTTGTTGAACCTCCAGGACCAGGAAAAGCCACACCGATGCTCAGCATCCAGCGTGCCGAACGGCATCAGCGGCTTGATGCCCGAGATGAACGGAAGGTGTGGAAGTGTTGGAAGGAGTTTTGGTTCAAACACCACGCTCATGAAAGCATCTCAACACATACACCAACATATTCTACCATTAATGTAGACTGTAGACTCTTGATTCATAAACCCTCCATGTAAAGAGGTTGTTCAATTCAACTGGGGGAGGTTATGGTCCTCAAGAGTCTCCAACTAATGATGGTTATACAGCAGTCACGTTCGACGGGGTGCCATCCATGGAGGTTAAGGCGGTAGTCGGGGTGCCCCGCACATCACATCCACGGCCCCCTTGATGGGACGAGCCACACCACCACCCGGGCGCCTCGGCGCGGCGTGCAGCACGCGGGGCGGCGCGCCGCACTCGCGGCGGCAGCGGCCTCGTCGTGGAGCGAGTCCCAAGATTTCGAGCTACCAAGAGAGGTGCTTCTTTTTCGAGTGCCCTGAAAAGGGGCCCATACTAGCTAGGGTTCCTAACCAAGGGAGAGTAGGGTTCTGACCCACCTCTGTTGGTATACTCAACCTGGTGAGCCTAGGTCAAAAAAGACGAAGAAAAACCAAAGCATCAAAGCCTAAAGGCTGGGACGAGAGGGTGTGATCGTCCGAATGTCGAAGCTCTTGAGGAGCACAATGGGAGAGATAGAAACACCGGTTTTTATGGCTGTAGATCACGGCACCAAGATGCCTTGCTGTTGACCTACCCGGAAGGTCGTTCGCTGCATGGTGGTAGGGGCCGGACCCTCACATGGAGAGGTCTGGGGTCTCATTTCCCCAGGTTTTGAGGTGCCAAGACTTGGTTTGAAGTGTTCGAGTATAGTTGTCTACCTTGGAGACAAACCCATTCCCATCCTCACTGATCTGCGGGAAGAAACCCGTGGACGTCCGGTCCTCCTCATCTCTCAACCTCGGCCAGGCCGAGACCCCTCCCGCCACGCCTGAAATCATGTACATGCCGTCGTCTCCGCAACTGGCCGTCGGTGTGCCGTTGTACATCTCATCGCACTGATAGCGAATCACCATCCCTCCGCGACGCGGTGCGACGACACAGGTCGACAGGTCTGTGGAGGTAGGAGGGCCACTGGCGGACCCATGAGATGACACAAAAGCCATGCAAAGATGATGACATTGACATGAGATGACATGAGCAAATATATCAGACAGCTAATTCATACAGAGGTCTGTCTGACGACAATACACCTTCCAACCTTGCCGTGAAGGAAACCCAAATCGTTTCAGATGGGCACAATGATTGTCCTTTGCGAACCAGACTCCGTGTTTAACCAGCTTCCATTTTTCGTGAATGGACAACCACAAACATCCACAAAGCAAAAAAAGCTACGAGATGCCAAAGGTCTAATCATCAACTTATGTGCTCCCTACGTCGCCCTACCTACTCCGTAGCTTCCACCCTGTCGAGCCGCGGAACACGACTTCACCCCACAGAGGCTTGTAGCCCGCGATGAAGGACGCAAGGAATGAGCGTGGCTGGGCTCATTAGATATCGGTTTCTGGGCTCATTTTCCCTTGTTCTCTAACCCAGAACTGTTTCGACTCATGTTTCATGTCATCCACCGCTACCATCCGGCATAAAATATGGTAAAATGAGTCCTTTGGCAGCCTTGGCAGTGAGGCAAATCAGGGAAAGATGTGTGTGTTTTTCCGCTGAACATGAGCCAAACAAAGTCCTGATGTTCTCAGATATTTTACCCCGGAAGTCCCACCTAATCCTGGGTCCTAACTCGTGACTAGACGGCCCCGCGGCTCCGCGGCTCCGCGCCTGTGCTCACGTTGCCCCGCTCCGGATCCCACAAAGGCTGCGCGTGTGGCACGCTGGGCGGGGCGTTGCAGGTGACTTCCACGCAGGCACCTTCCACCAGCCAAGTCCTCGCTTGGATTGGAAGAGGAGGAGGGTTTGATGGAGGATTTTGGAGGATTTTTGGGTGGGGAATTTGACCTAACTTCGAGTAGATCTAGGTAGTTAGTCCAAAAAATATGTCCAAATACTTCTAATGACTACAATCACCACATCCACATGACAATGGGAAGCTACGGTTCCTCATTTTTACCTACATTGACCCTTTAAACATCCTCAAACCACTCCAGGGTTGTCTGGGTCGGATCGCATGCCGGGTCAAGTCGACGATCGTTTCGCTGGCCACAACATCGTCCGCGTCGGAGCCTCCTTCGAGTTGGTCATTGGAGCCAATCGTTGGTCATTGGAGAAAGGCCAACAGGGTTGAAGCTAGTGGGGAGACAGAAGGAAGATGAAGGGAGGCAGCAACATCTTGGAATCAATGGACTTCAAGTGTTCACAAACCATGCCTCTTGAAACCCTCGAATTCTTCTTCCTGGTTTTGGAGGCCCCCACAAGTGAATCCACGGGTCGACCGACCCGAACTCCAAACCAAGCGACCCTGTGACATTGCAGTGAGCAGACAAGCTGCCCCAGTAGCCAGGTTTGTCCTTGGGCATCCGAGAAGTGCGACACGTTACCCCGCACAGGAACTCGGCATCAGAACGACGTGGATCGGCCCACGGCCCCGCTCTCCTGACCGGCTGCCTGACCGCGCAATCCGGCTGACCACTCCAAGGTGATGTTCACTCCCGCGTAACAAGGAATGTTCAACGAGTGAATCTTGAATTTCTGTGTGATCCCCGCTGTGAATGGTGAAAAGATTTACCCCCGCCTGCATGGTACAGCAACAGTCAATTTGTGTGAAGACTCTTGCACTGTCACTGGATAGGTCACCGAGGCTCCTTTTCTCTTCTTTGTCAAACCCGAAGACTTCAAGGACACTGCCCCAAACCGCACTCTGGATGCTGGATGATGAATGATGAATGCCCCAAAAACGGAGCTTGAACTGGACAGATGAGCAAACATCTAACCCGGTCGGTCGTTCCAACCACCGTTCCCAGCATGTTTTTGGGGCCCTTCCTCTACAAACAGCTGTGGACCCCACTTTCCAGGATCGGGGAGGGGAGGGTACTTCGTCATCAGAAACGAGACCCAGACATGCTGCAGCCATGAAAAGAACCAATCAGTGGTGTTTTATGGTAAATTCTTGATTCGTCAAGGGGATTCCAGTGGTTGTTTAGGCTAACATTCAAACTCCGCACTGACCCTTCCTTCTTCTGCACGTCATCGATCAGTCCACTCTTCTCCATCCTTCCCTCCTCGTACCATCGAACTTTCGTGCCGCCCCAGGGGCGCAGTCGTAGTGCACCGTCACGCCATAGGTCCAGTTCTGCCGCTTAATGTCCTGTCTGACCCGCCCAGAAGGGTCGAGAAATCCACAACTCTGCCCGGATGGAGTGGTGCGAGCTCGCTCATGTCAGCCATCAAGTAGGTGCTGGGATGGGGGGGTGCCGTTTTACTAGTTAAGATTGGACATTGATTACTCCCCCACGAATTTTGGGAGCTCCCCCAAAAAGTCACAGTCTTCTTCGTAGTACTGTCATCCTCCCAGCCCCTAGGCCCTACTCTTGAGTTGGCTTGCCATGGCAATGACCCACCACCACTCCACCACCATGTCATCAGGCTGCATCACACTCCACCATCCTGGGAGTCCCAAAACCATGTGAAACATACGTAATCTGACGACGTCCCCCCTTTGCCCAAGGAACGTCTTTTCAGCCGAAGACTCCTTGAACTTTGCCTTTTTAAAAAAGAATAGTAATAAATAAAATAATTTAAAAAAAAAAAAAAAAAACTCCCCAGTCGCCCTCTCTACTGCTTCCCCAGCGACGCTCATCCGCGGCGTGGCGTGCGGCAGGCGCGGAGGGGCTCCGCAGCTGATCGCACTGCAGGAGCCTTGCCAAACGTAGGCGCCTGGCAGTCAAGAGAAGAAAAAAGAGGGATGGGATAGAATGAGGTTGGGATGAATATCCAATTCCTATCTGCATGCTTTAGAATCGTAAAGCAAGGTTTAACAAGGGTTTAAAAAGGAAGAGAGGTAGCCCGGTGTTGTCACCTCCAGCTCACCGCACTGTGCGCGAAAAATCGCGCCCGGACGTCGCCGAACACGCCTTTGGCGCTGCAGCTCAGCGAGGGCTCCGCGCCCTCGAGGGCGAAATGCCCCGGTGCACAGCCCAGCAGCGTGGAGGAGCAGAGTGGCAACCAAGCTCCGGCCACACCAGGGCTACTCCTGGAGTGGCAGGACCTTTTGGGAAGAGATGTCATAAAAAAGGTCAATACGAGGTGTTTCTCTTTTTTTCCCGCCAGATCGTATTATCCCAAATGGCCGTTGGACAAAACTGATGTGTGGGGGTGAAAAGAGAATGAAGGGGGACTCCTGACATCTCCCTCCATGAGTTTTCCGCCCATAGGCCGCTGGGAAGCGGAAGATCTTCCGAAGACCAAAGAGGGGTATGTCCACCTCCATGACCGTTGGACGGAGGGTACGGGAAGGCTTGCTTTCTCCCTCTACCACTCTGCTTAGGGTTCCCTGATATGACCCCGCAAAAACAACCGTTCACACGGTTCACCAGACATTCCAGGGCCTGAAATCAGGGCAACCCAGGTTTGCACATCAGTCGACCCTCCGGGGCATCCCATGCGGGTCACCCCGTGAGAAAAGCACCGACCCGATCGGGGCTCCAGCGACCCAAGGTGTCGTTCAGCAGCGCGAAGTGGAGATCCTCCCACGATGGGCTTCCGGGCTTCGTCGTTGAGCCACGGAACGAATTGGGTGTTGGGGCAGCGAGTTCGGAGTTGGGGGACTCCAAACCACCCGTCACTCCATGTGACCTGGATGGTGAATGGTGATCTGGGGTAAGGCGACAGTCGTCTCGGTGACGCTTGGAATGTAAAAACAGGAGCTTTACTTTTTCAAGAGCCAAGAATCATCCAATAGTGGAAATCCCCAAAAATATCCCGCAGCCCAAGCTATGCTCCTCTCTCTCTCTGTCTCTCTCTCTCTCTCTCTCTCTATCTCTCTCTCTCTCATTGGCTGTCATGTGCTCCCTAAAGAACCGAATGAACAACCAACTTCCTCGGCAAAAACGAGACAAATATCCTCTCAAAGGGCCGAACACCGTCCCCAAAACGACTTAGCTCTCCTCGCGCGTCTCCAGGAAATGCGCCAGATCGCCCTGACCTGGGGAGACCCAGGTGAACGAACTGACAAGACATGCCAATCTCTGGAGTTGGGTATATGTGGAAACGTCATGGATAGTACCTGCTACCCTGGATAGATACCAATTCCAGTCCAGGATGCTAAAAGATAGCTTTTTGCAAGCTCTCGCAACATTTACGTCCATCTTGTGAATTCACGTCCTTTTTAAATCCTGAACGTTTTTTCACGTCCAAAGCCTGAACACTATTGAATATCGATATATTTGAGTGTTGTGAAAAGACCAAGTTCAGCGATTACGGTAAAACACGTCCCGGACAACAACTCTCGTCCTTGCATACCAAAAGACAACAATTAGCGACATGGACAACGAAAGGTGGTTATAAGGTTTAGCAGGTATATGGATATTGACCATATTATGGACCATATATGTATTATATAAATGGTGCACGTGATACCGGGAAGGGCAACCTTTCATCTTACAGTGCCTCACCAGTGAGTTCCCCAGGAAAAATTGCTAAGACTGCCGCCCCACCACACAGCTGTAGGTGCCTGAACAGGAGATGTTCCGAAGTGGTTCCTCCAATTCGATCTTCTCCGCGGGGATCAAGGTCAAAAGGCACTTGCAACTCACCTCGTTGAGTCAATGCTGCTGAAACAGCAGGGCATCTGCGAAGTAGGGACCTTCTGGGGTTGGATGATGCCAGGGGGCCGGGTTGGATGGGAAGATGTTGGAAATCAATGCAAAGTTCGAAGTTCTATGTCCAGGGATGTGAAATGAGGTGGTTGGTGTGCACGTGTAGTCCATAGACCCACACTAGCAGATGACGAGGTGCAAAGCAGGCCAAGAGCCCCAAGAGCAGATGGAACAGAGTTCGCCAGGTAGAGAAGGCTTGATTCAGCTGCCAGCGCTCCAAAAAGCGAGCTCCTCCGGAGAGAGAGGGTTCGGGCGGCAGGTTTTTTTGTGGATCTGCACGCACTGGCACAGTGCAGATCCGTTTCTTTCCTGCTTTGGTGTTGAAAGAAGTGAGTGGAGGATGAGGGATGTTCCAAATCCCCCAAACAATTCCTCCAAGAACTGGACAGTTGTTAAAACTTTGCTGTGGAAAGTTGGCATCTTCAAGAAACTCCAGCCTGGACATACATATCCTTTTTACTTAAACATCCCCATCCCCTCTAGGGAGTGGATCTAACATAGAGAGCAACTGCAGCTTGAAAACAGGTGTCGAGTCAAAGGGATGCCGAATTGTCCCGAGGTACATGAATGATATTTGGTCGAGATCAGTTCTTAATTTGCTCCATGGAGCACACATTTACAGCATTTCATAGTCAGAAGCAACTTGAAAATCCTGAAACTTAGGATATCTGTAGTCTGGCGTCTGAGGAATCTTTAAGATGGTAACAGCTTGCAGTGGGGCACATCTTTCCACCCTTTTTGACTACGACCCTGTGCTCGCCTTGCATCTTTCCACAGAATCTCTCCAGTTCCCATGGGCGCATGAGCAAACCATGTTCAACAGAGACATGCCACGTCGACGTCGCCCCGTAGAACTCAGAGCTGCCCCGCTCGGAACCCGTTCCACATCGGACCCAACCGGGTCCCGACCGGGTCGCGTTCTACAGAGCGGCCTCGCGAGCGCGCCATGGCGCGGCCATCAGACAGCAGCCCTTCCGTTCGGCCTTGGTGGGACCGTTCGGCCGGTTTCCCTGTGCCGGACATCTTTGCCTGTTGGAGCTGAGGAGCCATCCGAACCGAAACAAATCCGTAGAAAAATCGGTAAAACAAATCAACAAATTGCTCAACAACCGCGCCGAGGCACTCAAATGCCCCGTCTCATCCTCGCGAGTGTCGGTCACAGGGCTGGGCGCTTCCACATTCGCGTCCGCCAGGCCGTTCTCGGCGACTGGGTCCACCTGCGCGTCCAGAAACGCAAGGGAGCCCAAGAAGTTTCTTCTGAGAAACCTGTGAACTGACCGCTTTTTGGATAAACCAGTTGAAAAATACATGTCGAAAATTTTGAAGCAACCAGTTTCAATGAATAAAGATACAAAAAATATGTATATACATGTTACAACATTCTAAAGCCATTCACTTGGACCAACCCTACATCGCGTTCGTTGTTAAACCATGTTAAACCGAGTTTCTCCGGATTCGAAACCTCCACTGCCACCCTCCCCGCCGGAGCCCACCTGTCTCGGATCGGCACCTGCCCGGGTCAAATCATGGCAAAGGTCCATCCCGAAGAATTTGATGGGTTTGCTAATGTTTCAGAACGAGGATTTGACAGGAGAACCACACCAGGTTGTTCCAGGTTGTGTGTTTTTTTTAGTGCCCTTGAAAGGCTGCCAAGGGCATGAAGGCTCATGGAAGGCTGTTTTCTCTTCATGAAGTATATGACACGAAGCTTCTACAGGAACCTGACAAAGTACAGTAATCTGTTAGTCCCTTGCCTTCCCCCCCCAAGGCAGGGTAGCAATACCTGAAAAATAGGTGACGACATGGTCTCTTGCCTGTAGTGAAGGTTATTGAACCCCCAAATCTTGAAACTGAAGTTGGAGTGGTTGGAAGGTGTTGGAAGCCTCATGAATGATCCCAAGTGTGTTGAAACAGTAGCTGGTACCCCTTGGACTGTCCCATCACGTGAACTATAGCTACTACCGTCGATGTCACCCTGTGTGTAAATGTTTTTTCTTCAAAGAATTCATCCCATCCAGGGTAGGGCTCCAAGAAATTGAGGGATATCGCTGTGCAGGTCACATATGCTGTGCAGGTCACATATCGCTGTGCAGTGGATGATATCTGGTTCAGTTGCAGGCCTTTCTTGGAAATAGTGATAACTTATTGTTATTAATCATTCATATAAACCAGGACACCCTAAGGGGTGTCTATTGATAGCCCCCTAGAGGTTAAGGGGTGTCCCTTGTGGTCCTAGTATACCGACTGTTACAGGTACTGCAATGGAAAACGCCCTAGTCCAAGCTCCCCAAATGCTGCTCACTTGAATCGGCTCCGGTGTCTTGTCACTGAGAAATCACGAGTCGAAGATTCAGCAGAGGGCCAGCCAGCCCTGCAGAAGCAAAGGCACGGCACATACCCAGGTTCCACCTGCATTTGAACTGAGAGTTTCTGCCAAAAGACAGAAGGCTGTGATCAACATGGCCACGGCAGCCCCTGCAGGACCCAGCGCAGCCCGTTGCGCACGGACCCTCAACCCCCACGCCCAGCTCAGCTCTGCCTGCTTCGCCCACAGAGGAGGACTCCTCCGCAGCATCGGCTGGGAGAAGATGGAAGAAAAGATGGATGTCCGGGCTGGGAAAGGTCAGGCTTTAGACCGTTTAGATGAATCAGACCATCCCTTTTTTCAAGTGTCAAACCTCTAGATAGATGGGTTTGGTCAATGAACCGTCGACATGATACCTATGACTATGAAAACACGATATATCAGATATATCATCTGATATCGACATGAGGTCCTTGAGTTGGGAGTCAGCAATCCCATCATGGATTGTGTGGGATATGGGAACCATTGGGAACCTCTGGGAACCTCCATGGTCGAAGCTTTACACTGGCCCCGGGCTGGCACCGGTGTCGTTTCGGAATTCGACGCCACCAAGACTGCACATGTGCCTGGAAGGTGCAGGAAGGTGGATAGATAGGTGGATAGATCGTAGCACGGCAACATCCAACGTTTGATTTGTTATAGTGACATATAATACATAGACATAGTCGACCTATGTCGACCTATATATTTCAAAAAAAGAATAGCATATTGCCAGACTGATCTTAGGGATCCTTTTCACTCATCAAGAACACAGTGTTCTCTCTCACTCTCCCTTCCTTCCTCTTAGGAGTGGCCCCAACCCGCCTCCAGCTCGCCCTGCGAGGCCTCCGGCTCGGCCTGCGAGGCCTGGCCGAACCCCGGGGGCTCGACCACGGAAGGGGAACCGGCAAACGAGCGCCCCAAGCAAGGACTCCTGCCAAGAGGATGTGATCATATGTGATCAAATTTGAAAGTTCTTGTTGTGTCCTAAAGGTGACCGACCTTTTTCGCTTTTCGGAGCATCAGCTTTTCGAAACTGGTGCTGCTCATTGTGACATGTATCATGTATACACCACCAGCACCTTGCTTGGCACCGAACACCGAACGAGACACCGAACTGAGGCTCTAGGAAACGCCGTACGACTGGAGGTCCAGGGATGACCTTCTGAGCATGTGTTTGGTGTTCCAAGCAGAGGAAAAAAGAAACACATGACAATTCATTTACACTTTACATCACTGCACACCCCCTCAGAATCTCCAAACCCCTGAAAGGTCCGGTCCAAATCGACGTCCAGATCCACCTTCCCCCCCCCCGCCCCCCGCGGTCCGAAACACGCGGAAGTCACCGCGGAAGAAGGAGTCGTGTCCGGGCCTCGACCGCTTCGGAGACCCGAAGGGTCTCCAGCCATCCCACCAGCCAAAGTGCCTCAGTCGACGTTCCGTTCGTTCGTACGCGAACGTGCTTCGGAGTACGAGGGGAAGGTTTAATGAATTTCTGCCGCCCAGTAGCGAGACGGCAAAGCTATAAAAAAATGGAATCGAACTATGATCCAATCATTTGGGGAAGCAATTCAACATACGATTCAAACCTGCGGTGCCTGTTCATTTTCTCTAAACCAATGAGCACTGATGCAGGAGTGGTATATAACATGGTTTGTTTCATCCAGGGTGCATCTTCTGCACAGTCGACCGGCAAACCTTCGTCAGTGTCCCCATCCAACTGTCAGCCCATGTTCTTGGACGGAAGGCGGTTCGTCTGAAGAGAAACCATCCTCCCAAAATGCCAAGCGACCGGCTCTCGGTTTCGAAACCGATAGAAGGGATACGCCTCGGAAACCCAACCGCGTGTCCGCGCGCGCGCGCGTCGGATTTGGTATTAAAGAACGTCCGTCCAGATCAAAGGTCAGGGGCTTCAAATTCCGACTCCATACCTAAAAGCATTGGGCAGTCTTCAGGATCACAAGGAGGTTTTTCCGACTCAGCCAATGGCCTTCTCTTTTTTTGCCGATCGTTCTGACGTTCTTGGACACACTCCTTGCGACCTGAATGGCTTTTCTTCCCGGCTTTTCGTCTCTAGGGTTCTTGCATAGGAGAAGACGGTTTCCTGGGCATGTCGGTCCTGGGGGTGGAGTTCCTTGCATCAATCTTCACATCAAGTGTTCACACATGTCACATCAACCAGGACCCTCAAAGTGACCTCTTTGGAGTCTTATAAGTGAGCTTAGGCCGCGGCCTAAGTGTCCCGATCATGGGAGCTCAGAACTTTGAAGGTCCTGGAATATGAGCGACTGTACTAGAACCTGAAAAGAGACATATTCACCACAAGGGGATTGAACTCTGAAAACAAAAACACCTGAAGCAACATGTCGGGACGACTTGCCTGAACACCAACACGGGGTCTTCCACTATCGCTATCTCCACATACCCGAACTCGTCACCGTCTTTCCACTGTCCGATCGTCCGGCTCTCCCGCGTCCGGGCGCCGGTGGACACGAGCGTCCGGCCTCCGGGCCTCCGTCGATGTGGTGAACTCTCCGAGTCGATCGATCTGGGGCAAGTTGATCCCAACCACCCAGCTACTGTAGACTCTTCAGGACCATATACACACCCCCACATATTAGAAGAGGATGTTCAATTCAAATAGGGGGTTATGGTCCTCAAGAGTCCTACAGTAGGGTGGATCCATGCATGATCCACTAGGTCCGGGGTCCGGGTCGAACACCGCGCGGTCCCGGTCACCGAGTGGCTAGGAAGGTGTGGACCATCGCCAGCAAGGGCATCCAACACGCGTACAAGAGGCCTGAAATGGCGCGTACTCCACCGCGCGAGTTTGGACGGAGTTTGGACGCAACCTAGCGAGAAGGCGACTGTTCTCCTTTTGCTGGAAGCTGACGTGCTGTTCTCCTTTTTTGGTCTGGGCGTTTTTGGTCTGGCCAGGAAACTGTTCAGTCTTCTGTGTTGGAAGAATTTGCCTGAGGTAATCCCGAAAGTCAAACAACAAAGAGTTTTAAGACTGAAAAAAACTGCATGTTTATCTCCTGAGGATATCTAACTCGTCAACCCTGAACTGCTGGTAGGCTCCCCCCAACCCGAACATGCCCTGCCCCCTCCATTCCCCTCCACTCATTCCCCTCCATCCCGCTACATCCAGGAGGCAGTGCACCAGGTACATCCGGGACTCATCCCAGTGCCAGAAAGAAGCCAAGGCTTCGATCACCAACCACTGGAAGTATGTTACCGAGACGATCCCTGCGCGGCCGCGCGGCCGGCCAGCGGCGGCGCGGACGCCGAATGACACGTCGAAGTGGAACTCGCGAGTTGACACATGGGCGAGTCAGGTCAGAACCGCATGCGTGCCAGGGTCCGCGGGTATGCCGATGCTAGGTATCCCGGTGCCTTGTTCCTTTCAAAGGCTTCAAAAGTCTTGATGGGATTCAATGTCTTCTACAACTAGGCCCACTCCTCGAAATGCATCAAGGTGAAGTGCTTGAGCTGCTTGAGTTCTTGATGAGTGTCTTGTTTGCACTTCACCCCCCTTCTGAAGTTGAACCACCAGTACTTCAGTCTTTGTGGGTCCCAAAAAAGGTCTCATGAAAGTCTCGCTCTACACCCCCCAGTTTGGCAGACTGAAGCGCACACCAGCATTGCCCAATTTTTGCGAGCTGAATTGTTCCAAGTCGAGGAACATGAGTGGGAATGTCAAAATTAAGGCGAGCCTTACAGGCAAGACCTGAAGCCTCAAACACCCCTTTGTGTGGGACTGTTTCTGCAAGCAGTCGGCTTTCATCTGAAGAATCGTGTTTTCAGAACGGGTCTTTGGAATGCAATCTGCAGCTCAACACTTGGACGCCGCACTGTAGACTACGTCGACGTAGGCTGCGTTTACTTAGAGCTCACTGCAGAAGCAACGCCAAAACAGCAAAATCAAAGGTCTTGATGCCGGGGTGCGTGAAGTGCTCTAGCATGCACTGACTCATTCATTTCGTCACTGCCAGCAAGCTCACAACCTATGTCTCTTGAGAATCCGAAAGACCTATCCGACGACGCTTAGAATAAATCAGCCAAAACAATCCAAGGAAGAAGAAACGCTGAAAGTTATTAAATCAGGCAGGCACCATGTCGCCTTATACAAGGCAGAAGGCTTGGTCAAGGCTGTCGCGCGAAGGCTGTCGAGCAGAGCATGAACACATCTTCCGGCCCTCATGTGTCCAACGTCCACCACCCACACCCAATCCAATCCAAACACCCTAGGAGACGAAAAAAAGGACCTTGAAAAGGACCTCCCGTCTCCAATCAACCTTCCACATCAAACCGTCCAATTCCCCTGTTCTTCCACCCATCCACATCCAACTCCCCCCCAAAAAAACCAACGGCTCCGATTGGGACCAAGCAAGGTCCCTCCATCCCAGGGCCTTTGACGCCCAGGAACTTCCACCTCAAGGGCGTCCGCCACCCTCCGGCCCGGGGGTTCCGCGTACCGGCTCGGCTCGAGGTTCAAAGGGCATCAGAACTCGGAACCAGAAAACCAAACAACACCATCCGGAGATGGCTTAGTTCCCATGGGCAGGACCTGTTTTTTCTACGAACACCGGTTTTCCTGCCTGCCTACGCAGGGATGGATATCTGGGTGTCAAACCGTGTAGTTCACGGACCGGTCGGTGCATCACATCCCACGAAGAAGATGTTCGTCGCCAGGTATTCGACTTGGAAGCTGCTGGGGTGGCATCCCCCCAAAAACAACCTGCTTTGACTGGCTTTGATCTGACTGTTTTTTTCCATGGATTTTCCATGGGTAGGAAGGGCCCTGAAGACACTGTCACTCGTCACTCAGTTCACTGAAGGCTTGCAGTTCGTCTTTTTCAAGCCAGGCCACATTGGCTCAGTCTTCTCCAGCTGGTGGCGATAGCCAGACTCAAAGTAGAAGACAAACATGATGGCGAAGGAGCCTTGCCATGAGGCTCTTGCTTGGTAAGCTGCGGAACAGCGGTGGGGGGCACCCCAAAGACCAAGTGGTCATCATCTATCATGGTGGTCAGTTCCAACTTTATGCATAAGACCGGAACATCTCATGACACCCCCCCCCACTTGACACCCCCTATACATACCCCCCTGTTGCGAAACCGATGCATATGGTTCCGTCGACGGGAAGTCCTGAGACGCGTCGAGGCGGAGCACCTTTCATTCGCAAAAGCGCTGAGGTCGATACACAGCAAGAAGGTCACAGCGGTCAAGGCGGTTGCAACGTTCTCCTAGCGGAGCGGATCCGTCCAAAGCAGCGGATCCGTCGAGGGATCAGTGGTGAAGTTCATTCAACATGACCCGCTTTGGTGCTAAAACCATGGCCAGACTCAGCAACCCATGTCTGGCACCGTCCGTCTTCCACTTGCACAGGTCGGCAAATCACCCATGCCAGGTTGCCAGGTCGTCCCATGCCATCACATTGTTGCGTGCAACTTGATCTTCAATGACTTTTGACCATGAGTCCAATCTTTCATATTGCGAAGGACTAAGGACTGAGACAAAAACCATTCCGTCACACCCTCACTGTCCAACCTGACTCCCTACATTATTCGAAATGGTCCAGGGTCAATCTGGGACATTCATCTCAGGTCACCAAACATGTGTTCTTTCTTGGCTGGCCTAGATTCTATGAGGGTTTCTGGTGAATGAAATACAGGTGAAACAGCAGGAAATGCAGGTGAAATTGCATGGATGTCCTCAGTTTTCAAACAAGGGGTGACTCATGCACAACTCTTGCAACAACCTCCTTGCTGTCACTGGGTCCTTGAATCTCACGTGGCAAAGAAACATACCTGCAGCAACCAGCCTTGTCCACAATCCCTGAACCAAGGGAGTTAGATATAGTTCCACTAAAAATTACAATTAACAAACAAATGTCCTGTGTTGCTGGCATCCTTGTTGCTGTTTACAACTACTGAAGGACCAACAAACCTGAGTCATATGTTCTGGTCCTTCTTCCCCCCTGGTCAACTCCCATCGCCGAACACCAAATGTGATTTATCACCGCGCCTCGTACCAGGTCTCACAGCTCATGCAACTTTTGGACGCCCAGTAGCAGAAGGTTGGCACATAAACCGCCACCACTCCGCGCAGAGTCAATTTCCTCACCCCGACATGTGGGAGAGTCGGAAGGTGTTGATGCTGAAGGAAAACCAGGTGAATGACCCAGCACCGTCCAAGATGGTCAAACGCTAGCTGCGCTAGCTGACCGTCTGTTCACGCATTGTCTTCAAAAACACCAGAGGTGATGCATATCCTTTGGCGCAGCCCAGTTGCAACACGACGGCGGCGGTTTGAATCCAAACCCACGCCTTCACACCTGGACGGCAGATCACCATCCCCAAAGCTTTGCGCTCAGAACTCACCGGTTGCTTACAAAACGCAATTAACCTCCCATTCCTGGGCATCAGATTAACCCCCAAATCCATCACAGTTATCATCAAGCGTATCTGAAGATGCTGCACCTGAACCACCCCAAGCCGGTGCACCTTGCAGGCTGATCGCTTTGAATGCCTTGAAGGACCTCGTGCATCGAGGCGGGGATCGAGGCACCCAAAAGCACCACAGCAAGGCAGCCCAGCTGGCCCGCTGGAGCACGGACACCACCCCAACCAAAGGCCCAGCCCCTTAACCTTCGAGCTTCGGCAACCAGCTACACCTGCGCTTTCACACACACACTTTCGAGGGAGGCAGAGGCGCTCTGAGCGCGACGAAGCAGCAAGCGAAAGTCAACAAGTTTGTGAACCCAACCAACTTCAAGGACAGGGCCTACCCCCCTATGGGCCTCCTGTGCTCAGTTCTTGCAGACTGCGACGTAATGTGCAAAGCAACGGTGAAATTGACGCTCTGCTTTGATGTGGTTCACGATCCAAGTGTAGTTGAAGTTGAAATTGGTCATTTGTAAATACTTAGCCTGCAATGAATCAACCATTCCATGTCCAAATCACGGAAAACACCACGCAGCTCCTGTTCTGCACACCGATGACAAGCCCAGTCCACTAAACATGAACAGGACTCCAAAAGACTTCAAGCTTCGTCGGCGAGTCATCTCTATGAACTCCATGTCGGGTTGCAAAGCAATAGGGATCCATGTCTAGGGCTTCTAGGGTTGATAAAAAGAAGGTCCCCCAGACATGGATGGCCAAAACCCCTCCATCATATTCAAATCCGAACGGGCTCTCCAGCATGCAGGGGTTCGGATCCGAACCAAACCCTATAGTGTTGTTTGAGGGCCCAGATTCATAGGGGCATAAATATGTCTATGGGTCATATCAGGTATATAAGTTTGTTTGAAGGGGTCTACAGTCTATAGTAGTGGCAGTTGAGGAGGTCAGGTCCGATGACTGACGTGGCCTCTCCCTGTTCGAAGCTTTGACTCGAAGCTGTTCACGACACGGCGACGAGGCGGACGACGGTGGACGCGACGAGGACGGACGGGTCGCGATGCCCGAAAGGCTCCGTTCGGGTCGCGATGCCAGGAGCCAGGAGCGTAGCGTCCTTGCTCCTAGATAGTTTTAAAGACTTTACCAGGACCATCCTGTCTGGGTGGACTACCCTACACATCCCTACACTACTTATTATATAGATCTCCATTGGACACCCCTGGGATGGTCTATAGGTATATAGTCATAGGGGATTTTACACGACAAAACAGGTCCACCATCTTTTTGATGGTCTTGGAAGGCTATAGGGCAAGAAGTCTCGAGAATTCCGGGGCGTGCTAACAGACGTCGGTATCAAAAACAAAACGCTTGTGTACACACCCGATTGGTCAAACATGGAGTTTCCCCGTCCCATCCTTGTTCAAAAGAGAAACAGGTTCTGAGGAAAGATGGTGCCAGGCATGGGAAATCCGAACTGACTGGTCTTCACCTTCGTCTTTTTTTCCAGACTTGGCCGATTTGATCTTCCCTCACCTTCCGAATTGGCCAGCAGCTCGTTGGATCATCGAATGTCATTGAATCGACCCGCCAAATGCGAAGTTCGTTGATCCCACCTTCACGGTCTGGGCCTCCAAAAACTTCCAACTGCCTTGCCCTGGACGTCTGGCGTCTCTGGGCCTTGAGGGGATCGATTAGAAAAGCACCGATCCGCACCCAGGACGAAGAAAAACCATCAGGTTCGGTCCGGTTCGCTTCGACCTAGTGCACAAACCTCCCAGATCGATACCTCCATCGCCCTGTCATCACCCTGTCATCGAACCCTTCCCTTCGGTCAGGTCGTCCCTTTTGGGGTGTGGCCACCACCCCCCGCTCACCTCTTCCGACCGACTCCCCACCTCCCCACGTCCGAAACGGCTCGTCCCGTTTTCCGTCCCGCCTGATGGAGCTGCGATCGGAGGCCATTTCCGCCTCCACCACCTGCCAGCGGAGCGGAACGGGTTCCAACCGGTCGAACGTCAGGCGCACCGGCACGGCCTGTCACTGGACGGCCGCTCTCCACTCCGGCCACGGAAGATGGTGATGTGGATGGCCCAATTGCCCTGAAAGGAAGACTCCTTTCCTCTACAAACAGGGAGGGTTCCACTTCCATGTTAGTGAGTTGGAGTGTGGTGCTTGAAACTCCCAGAAGTGTGTAGAGCAGACCAAGCCTGCAGCACAAGCTGCGAACCGTGCACTCGAACTGTCGATATGATTGAGAAGTCTCACGCCACCGGGAAGTTTTCACGAATTCAGGCTTCAGCAGCATCTACCATGGCAACAATTATAGATTGTCCGAATGCCTAATATCAAGTCTTTCTTTCACTTTCTTTGCGAAAACTCCAGTCCGACGTCCGCGCCGAGTTCTTCCGCAACCCGACCCGGCTCAAAGCCGCGAAACGAGGAGCGAAACTGGGTAGAGACACGTCGCCTGCACGAAGAGTTTCAGGACTGACCACAAGGCAAAAGCTTCATAGATGTCCCCACTCTCGATGATCACGGGCACCATCCTGGTGTTGCACCATGCATTCGTCGCACGGATTCCAAATCGAAGAGGTGTTGATCCGCGTGAACATGGCAGGTTCTACGCCCTGCGAAAAGAGGTGTTGGACACCTTTCTCATCAGATCAACCAAGTGTTTGAACATAGAACCAGATAGACAGATCGAGCAAGGAATGGGGGGCCAGTGAAGGACTACACTCCTCGTGTTCTATTTTAAGTGACTAAGTGTTTGTGTCTCCTCTAAGTGGCCCAAAGCTATGTAGTGGAAGGCTCCAATGCAAAAACCATCAAATACCAAAGGGGTCATTCTGTACCAGTGTCTTCAGTTCGTGCCCCAGTCGGAGACCTCGAGTCCTTCATTAAGTGACCCTTTCTGTTAGGCGTTTTCGTGACCTAACCAACCGACATCAAGGACGGTCACGGGATGAAGAACCAGGTATGGCATATATTCACACCGCTTCGCGGTCGAAGCCCCCCCGCGCAGAGTAAAGGGAAAGCAGACACACACACAGACATAGGCAAGCATCCATGCATACAGACATACATACATGCAAGCAGACATCCAGACATACATGGGAAAGTGTGTCATTGGCACCCTACCGGCCTGGCAGCAACCTGCACTCGCGGAGCCGGGAACTATATAGCAACTCGTGCCCTCGGAGGGTTCTGTCTCGGTCTGTCTCGGTCTGTCTCCGTCGGTCGGCAGGACACACGGACGAACACACCAACGATGTCAATAATGCAGTGTCCCCGGGTTACACATACGTCTGCGGTGTCGACAATGCGGTCTGACCCTGCCTGCATAACTGGCATAGCCAGCATGTGGTCCAAAACCAATCCATTTGTTCTTATCAATCTTCAAAAAACACTGCAAAACACAGATCGGGCCCCCCAAGCCAGAGCTTTATCCAGCAGATTTCTTGTGATTGCCACGAGCCGCGACAACGCACCGGCACCTTCGGAGCACGCGGATTTACCATGCATGGTAGTTTCCATAACATGTTCAACAGGCCGCAGCCTCAACAAATCGAAGGACGACCACCTTCCTGAAACCCAAAGGTCCGACCGTGACCTGCAGCGTTCGGGTACGGTACGTCCCACGTTCCCGCTCCGCGCCGAGGCGCTGTGCCAATTGGGAGTCGGGCTCCAGCATCAGGGCACGAACGCACACGTCGCAGAAAAAGATGATGTTCACCTTCGAACATCGTCGAGTTCGTGCGTTCGTGCGAGTTCGTGATGCGATGGAAGCAAGCTGCCGGCAAGCTGCCACGGGACATTTCCGCAAAGAAAAGGTCCGGAGAGTAACAAGAATCCAGCCCACGGCCATGGGGTGGCTGCTTCAAGGGTTTCAGGAGTAGGTCACTGCAGGACGTTGCTTGTTGCAGGGTAGCCCCTACTGCCTAACATGGTGGAAACACAGGGAAGGGGGCACAAGGAGGGGAGGAAGGTAGGAACACCTCTGGGTCTATCTTCTTACAAGAGGCATCACCTCTTCGGCCGTTTGATGTCGAAAACCCTCCAGGATGGCTAAGTGAGAAGAGAGTGAAGCATCAGCATCAGTGAAGAGGATCTTCCCTGGCTCCTCCCATCTCTTCCCAGTGTCAACTCCCTTGATGTCCGTCCATGGCTCCAGTCCGGGTTCCACGTCGCCTCCAGGTCCTTCCAGTGAATCCATCGACATGTCTGCCACCGAGGCACCGGAAGAAGCAGCATGTCCAGGAGCCCATCGACCGCCACTTTCTGCGCTTCCTTCCCTTGCCGCACCGAAGAAAAACACCAGACCTGGCGGACGACACGGAAGTCGCGTCCCGTCCTCGCTCCGTTCGGGGCGCGATGCCCTTTGTTCCGAACGAAGCGAACCTTGCTCCTAGTAAGGCCAGGAGCGCCCGTTCGTAGCGTCCGATCGCTCCGTTCGTGTCACGATGCCCTTTGTGGCCTTCCCGCAAAGAACGACATTGGAAACAGGGCGACATTGGAAGACGTGTGAAGAACGGGGCGGGGACTCAAAACAACGGCCAACGTGGGGTGGGTGGGGCGTTCGCCAGCTCGAAGTGACTTCGTGCCACAGGTGCAAGGATGAATAGGATCTTCAAGTCGGCTTGCGGTTCCTGACCCAGAAGTACAAGCTAGAAAGTCTTCCGGAAATCCAGCCACGTTCCCCCCCGGCTCCAGCCCCCCAAAGGCACACACTGATCCCACCGTGCCTCTCTGATGGTAATCCTGGGACGTTTGGACGCTTCGCCACCGTTGCCGCTACCCCCGGCTCCAGCGATGCGGGGCCCGGGCTGGGTGGGGTGTAACACCCAACGGGCGTGGTCTTCACACCTCTAACCCCACGCGTTGTTCGCTGCAAACGGTTGGGTTTTTACCATGGGAAGTGTGTGGAAGGAAAAGAGTGGGCGTTCCTGCATGTTCCTGCGTACCAACTTACATGCGTTTTACCATGGGGTTTTTGCTTGCCAAAAGGAAGAGAAGCCAGGAAGGCTGGAAGAGGATGCGTCTCGTAAGCAACCCTCACCCCAAAGGCCCGAAAACTGGGCCGTCGGAAAGTTCGAGCAGATGTTGGATTCTTTGAAAAGAATGGATTCGGAAAAGGCATGGGCTTAAAATCGTCCAGGATGGAAAAGACATTCGTCGATTGACCTTCATGTGCACGATCACTCCACGACGATCACTCCAAGGCACGACGATCATGTTTTTAGGCTCCCAACACTTGTCAAACTCTCCGTTACTAGGAACAAGTGCATCGCTACTAGTAACAAGTGCCTTAATAGTAACAAGAAGCTACTAGTAACAAGAAGTTACTAGTAACAAGTGCATCGCTACTAGTAACAGTTTGGACCACTCTCCGTCCGCGAAACCCCGGCGCGAGAGAAGACTCTCGATGTTTGATTCACAAAGAAATGAGACCAGAAGTGATCAAGGACGTCGAGGATCAGATATATAAGACATATCCACTATAGTGACTAGATCTTCCAACTGTGCAGAGTGTCGTCTGCCTTTGGGCTGGTGTTACTCAAGAAAAGGCAAACATGATTGTCTAGTTCGAAGATTTAGCTATTGTACACTGCATTTCCTTTCGATTCTAAAGGCGGGGACGCGTCACCAGGTCTTAGATCTCCAAGATCGTCATAGCGAGCATGGATGTGAAAGCATCAGAAAAAGAAGGCCTTTTTCAGTGCCAAGTTGTCTCTCCATCTCTCCTCGCCGAGGCCATACACGTGTTCCTTGCCAAACCTCCATGAGCTACACAAATCCATCATCACGGACGAGGATGGCATGGCTAAAGGATCACTTTGGATGTCGGACATGCTTGATGTTCCACTTCCATGACTCGTTCAGGCAGTGCACCTTCTCCAACTCCTCACCCATCCCAACTTGAAGCAATCCCCTGCAGATCGGTGCAGATCCCCCCATAGACCCCCCCAGAGTCAAGATGCGCGAGGGTCAGCCAATAGGCAGCGTTCACGAAAATGAGCTCCTCAGTCAGTCAGAGGACTCGGACTCCCTTCAACAGTCCAACTGACCGACCGTTGATTCCCTAGCGGCACCCACTCGTCCCAAAAAGTGGACGATGGGTATCAGTGGTATGCGGCATAGGCATCCCTGGGGCATTTGCCGAAGTCTTGTCTTCCCAAATACGCCAAATCCACGAAGCAGTCGAGACCATCAAAGGATGTGAAATCCTGATTATGTTTATCTAATGGGCCTAATGGGCCACATGCCGCACGTGTTAGAAAGTGATGTCGTATGAAAGAACTGGTTCATGAGACGCCCCTGGCTGCCCCTGGATTGCCCCCCCTGAGAATAGGGAAGTGTGAAAACTTAATAAAGCCTTGTGAGCTGCCTAAGAAGCAAAGTTTAAAAAAGTTAAGAATTATATGTTTAGGAAAAAAAACAAAACAATACAAAGAAAAATACAAAAACAATACCAAAAATTAGGAGAAAAAAAGGATAAAAAAGGAATGAAAATAGCACAGTCACACAAAAACACAAGCGGACTGGACAGTCTGCGATAGAAACCAGCACGTCCAAAGGAAGAAAGGGACACAACATTTGTCAAAGAGGCACTGCAACAAGTAACTGTTCACTGATTGAAACCCAAGTAGAGGCTGCATGTGGCATAGACAAAGGCCAGCACAACAAAGCAAAGATCACGCAAGAGGCTCATTGAGAATAGACCAGGATATTTTGAGTATAGGTATAAGAGTTTTATATTTTATATGTTGGTGTCAGGCAGCAACCTAGTGTTCCTGCTCATTGTGAACTGTGCGCCCTATGTTTTTTGTATGTTCTTTTGTATTACTCTTGGATTTTTCTGTGCATTAATGTTGCAATGTGTTTGTTGTTTTTATGATTTTGTGATTCATTAGAGTTAGCTTTAATCCAGGTCATAAATAAAGCCTCATTAAGGGGCAGTCCAGGGGGGGCAGCCGGTATTCTCGTCACTGGTGGTTGTTTCTGTTCGTGCAGTTATCAAGCTGAGATCTGCATCAAGCTGGGACGTGGCACAGGACGGCTCCCCGTCTTCCTGCGGCACCAAGTCCGTAGAGCCCATGGGAAGACGTTGCAAAACGCCCGTTGCACTGCTTTCAAACCCTAAGACCCCAAGAAATTTCCCCAAACAAAAGAAGATCGACCATCACTGCTTACATCCTGAGCAAAGCCAGGGTTGAACATCCAAGCTTTATAAAAATCACCGGCAAACCCGACCAATCAGGACTCCTCCCCATCCCAAAAGCCCCTAATTAAAAAAGAATTGTAACAACTTCACAGTCACACCTTTTGGAACACCATTTGTTCGCCGAAAAGACCGTCTTGCCCAGCACCATTGCTTCATCTCAGGTGCCCATCGCCATCCTTTCAGGGAAGACGTCACCTTGGCCACGACGGAAGACGTGTGTCAACAGGGAACAGACGAGGTTTTGAGGTAATACGAGGTGGCGACGGTGGGACCCACTATACCTAGTGGTGTAGTGAGTGGTTTATGTATACTGGGGGTGTCGGGAAACAAATATAGAGCAACTCAGATTGAACACCAAAAAAACGTGTGGTAGTATTATAGAAGCCACACTGGAGGTTCCTCCAGAAGAGTTCCTACATGTTCGACCAAAACAGCTCCCAATGGGTAGAAGAAATGACCACTCGGCGCCTCAAAAAAAAGCAAAGGATTCACAAAGATCCATTACCCAGACACTCCATGGGACTGCCATATATGCCGATCAGTTGACCCCCAAAACCCAAAAGCCAGGGCCAAGAACCAGTCGCGACACACTGACACACGGAGCGCGATTCACCTAGCCACGCAGCAGTCACACAAGCCCTAGGGCTCCAGTCGAACCTCCGAAAATATGCTGACCCTCCGGGCACCCACCCCAGTCCCGTTCGAAAAGAAGGTACCTGGAGAGCTTGGGTCTTCTCCATCGGCCCAGCCCTTGAGGTGTGAGGTTTTGGGTAAATCAAGTCTTCCCCCCACTTCGCAGACGGCCTCACGGACCGCGAGAATTGAGTTCTAGAGTCTAGAAGATTTTCCTCTACAACCCTGTGGTTTTGGAGGTTCCATGTTCATCTGCAGGAAGGTACCTTTCACTCGTACTTACAAAAATATCTGGCAAGACCTCCTAGGTCTTTCCACAGGGCACAAAAAAAACAGAACCAGGATTCGATGGCAGCGAACACATTGGAACTCTCTCCCAGCCTCCCGGCATCCTGCATCGAATCCCAAGGTGGATCGATCTATCACTGAGTAGCTAATGTTCAAAATACAAAAACAAACAGACACACACTCCTGCCTTTACCGCTGCCTTTCTTTACAAGCCAACAGCTAGCACCACTAGTTCGGTGTGTTGAGCCGTTCCAGCAAGACACTGATCGCCCAAGTGGCAATGAGCTCACGGATCGCGAAAGCCACCTGCGCCGACAAGTGGAACCAATACCTGGCGGTATCACGCCGGACGCCGGACGGGTGCCGCGGAGCTCGTAAACACTCAACTCGTCCATCCGTTCTGTGGAACGGAAAGCCGGAAAGCCAAACACTCCATGGGAAGATTGTATAGCCTTCCAAGACCATTTCTACAAATTGACCCTGGTGTTGTAGTGACCCTGGTGTTGTAGTGCAAACTCCGTAAAAGCAAAGGTTGTTCGGCACACCATTAATGATGGTGGTTGGAGGCCTAGGGTATATACTTCAGAGGTCCAAAGGCATATTTGGCGCCAGCAAAAGAATTCCGGAATTGCGGGCCATGTACAGACCATCTTTAAAAGAGTCTAAAAGGAATTGCCATGTACAGGCCATGTACAGACCATCTTTCATATGTATGTTTACCATGTACAGGCCATGTAAGAACTCTGCCCCCAATGGAACGAAACAAACACATATGAAACATGGATTGTCAGGTTGTCCCACGCCTCGAGACCGACGCCAAAACCGGAGGTTGAAATAGAATCCAAGAGTCTGCATTACTTAGCATTGAGTAAGCAAACATCCTGATCCTGCAATCTCCAAGGCAGTTTTGGCCCTCGAAATGGTGGGATATTCTCTATTTCAGGTGTTGTAGGATGCCTGCCCTATACAGAAAGTGACAGAAATGATACACGTAAATCAAGATAAGCCATTAAAACAAATAAAACATCGGAAAACAACTGTCCTTCGTGATGTTTTACAGAACAGTCGATCTAGTCGTTTAAAACTCCCCCGCTTACAATATCATAGCCTTCCACGACCATTAAAAGAATTTGGTTGAGGTGGGTTTGTAGTCTAAAATCCTTCAACCCAACGCTTGTTCGGTGATTCAACATCACCGGGCCAGGTTTCACGGTCTTCGAAAAAAAGGCTCCGACTCAGCTTGGTGACACCGGCGGCTCTCTAGACATTGGCCCAGGTGCCACTTCAAGCCCCCAGAGGGCTCATAGGGCACCTCGGAGCGACCCAGCTCGGAGCGACCCAGCTCGGGCGTAGGAAGGGAAAACCGAGCGGTTTTAAGGGGTGGAAGGAAAACTCATGGTGGTTCTCTACAGATTCTGGTGGATCCCGGCCAATCTTTGTTGTCTGGTGGATCTCTTTCTTTTCCAAACGCCACACGGCGGCCTGCGGTTGAGGTTTGAAACATCTGCGGAAGGGGAACCCGACAGGTACCTAAAGCCTCATGCTCCGTGTCCGAGCAGGGCCAAATATCGCTTGTTACACTCACCGAAAAAAGGAAAAGAGGTGAAAAACAACACAAAAACAAAGTGGTTCTGGTAAAACTAGAGACATGAAAATGTCCAGGAGCTTCCCAGTGCCCGTCCGCAAGAGATCCCAGTGGCCGTCATGGAAAAGTCTTGAAAAGGTCACGTATACCAATCCTGAAGGTTCAGTCAGAAGTGGGAAGGTCCTGATTATCTGTACTTTTGTTATCCCCCGCAAATTACAGCGGACGTCCATGTCCCCTGCCCAAAACCAATATTAGTGGGGTAGGGATCATTTATCAAACAACAAAAACAAAAAAAAATGGGCAAAGCAAGACAGCATTGAGCTGAACATGTTGTGGTGTTCAATCAGAATAGTGTTCTCCATGTTGCTCGGCTCAAAAGCATTCCCAAATTTCCAATCATTAGTTTACCCACCTGCAACAAAGAGAATATCCTAGCATCTAAGAGGTATCATAGTTTTGCGCCGCAGGATCCTTACAAAACATGTATCTCCCATCACGTTCGTACAATCACGGACTTGTTCATCTAGCCTACCCAAGAGTTTGTGCAGAAAGAGTGTTATACTATCAATTACAAACAAAAATACGCCCCACAATCACCCAAGAAGTCTCAGCTCAGCTGGAGTTGGTGCACCAGTCGTCACGGTCGTCAGGATCGATTCCACGTCACGGACGTCGGAGGAACTCCGAACTCGTCGACGTCGGGGGGGAGTAACCCAAGGACGTAACCCAAGGAGGGAGTAACTTCTTGGACGTCCATGGAAGCACCGAACTGGACCTTGGCGTGGAATCAAATGCGTAACCCAAGATCTTCACCAGCCTTCAGCAGACCTCTCCCTCTCCCAGTCCACTCCGACCTCCCCAATCTTCGCTCCACTCCAACCTCCCGGTCGGTATGGTTGCGACCTGGTCCGATCGACCCGATTGAGCCAGGTCCGAGTCCCAGGGGCCAGTTCTGACTTTGTACAACAGCAGCAGCGCCGCACACAATGAAGACCTTGGCGTGCGGTGCGCGCTCTCCTGCCTCGGGGTATGGTATGGTGTTGGTGGTGTAACAGGGTGTGCATGTGGCAGGTGGCAGGTGGCATGTGGCTTTTGGTTGCCGCTTTCAGGGGCGAAGGACCTGTGGGGTTTAGGCTGGGTGGTAGGATTGTCTCCCCAGTTTCTGGAAGTTCTGATGCTTGCCTTGGCAAAAAAGGCCTCATTAAATAGGCCCGAGAAGACTTTGGTGCTCTGGAAGACCTCCCAGAGTTTCTGTCCATGTTCACAAACAAGTGCCACAGGAGTATGTTAGCTAAGGCTAAAGCTAATGAATGAAGCCACCGTTGCCATAAATAGAAACTAGTATCACCTTCCTAAAGTTCCGCATCTCAACTGCAAGATGTTGAACTGTTGAACTTCTTCCGGTGGAATTTACAACGGGAACCTCGCAGAAATCATGAGAAAATCATGAGATGTTGCAGTCTTGGAGGGATGTTGCATGCTGCAGCTTCTTTTTTGAGCCAATGCTCCAAGACTGCTTCCTCAACTCTTGCTCAAAGAAAGCGTATCACTTCATCCCCAGACCCCAGACCAGTAAGCCCCACCGTGATGGCACCCAACAGACCCCGTTCCCCCAAAGGCGGCGACGGAGCGGCTCCTGCCGCGCTCCCACGAAGCAGAGAACGCTCCGTCGGTGGCGTCGCACGTCTCCCCTCATGCCCTCCCTCCGCCCCGGAGCGCGCGGGCCCAGCGCTCGCACGTTTTGGTCCCCAAGGGACCACGGGAGACGCAGCGGACGAAGGGCCGGGACCTCGGAGGGTTCGGTCGGTTCGGAGGGTTCGAAGGTCCCCAAGGTGGAGGAGAGAAAAAAGCCTGCTTTCACCTTCAGAATGGATGAGACAAGCAGATATCTAGGATATGGAGATGAAGGAAGCCATGGATGAGATCATGGACTTTTCAAGAAAACGCCCCGACAGCGACGGAACGGAGTCTTTCGCCCACCGACGGAACGGCGGCATCAGACTGAGGCGCGTCAGATCCTCCGTCTTCAAACAACAGACATTCGATACCGAGCATTGACCCCCCAGCCCCTCCCCCCCCACCCCACCCCATTAAAACATATTAAAACCATCGCGCACGGTTTAGTTTTAATTTGCATCAACACGTTCCTCTTGTATCGTTGAGCACCGTGTCTTCAAGTTGGGCATCGTCTTCGAAGATCCTTCGTCTTCGAACAACAGAAGGCATTCGATACCGTGATCCTTCCAATTCGTTTGGAAAGGAGTTCGAGAATGGCGTGGTTTCAGAGGTTTGATGGTGGCACAACATGTCTGAAAAAGGCAAATGGAGGCTCCAACCACCAAACTCCAACCGAATTGCTGCCATCTCTCCGCACGACGCACTGCACCGTCCTCTCTCCGATTCGCTCCAGGACGCTGCGTCCGCAGCACCAGGCCCATCGCCGACGCGCCGAAGTGCGCGAAGATCAAGGTGGCCATTCGCCGCGGACGGCGCCACGGCGCCGGAGGACGCGGGGCAACGCGGTGGAACCGGTGGGGGGGTTGTTTGGGCCGGGGAGGGGGGTGGGGGCTGAAATGATGTGGGTGGTTGGGTGGTTGAACTCCAGGTTTGGTCTGAGGTGGCTGAAAGTAAGTAGTCATGTCTCCGGATGAGTCCTTATAGATGGCTCTGGGTCAAAAAGTTCAAACGTTGGAGGGGGCTTTGACCCACACCAAGGCTTGTTTGAGTGGCTTATGGCTTAAGCGCTTGGTTTGCTGATCGGAATCACTGGATCTTTCACTGTGGGGTTGGTACCGCCCGGACGGTAGTCCGCCATGGCATATGAAGGGAAATATAATTGTAACATGCATGCGTCAACTATTTCTCTTATTTTTCTCCTCTGCTTGAGACTGAAATTGGCACCTCTGGGTCCAAATCGGAGTTTCTTCTCTTTGGAGACACAGATGGAATCCAACACAGAAATCATGTTGGTCTTTTGAGACACAAGATACCTTTCTCAGCAATCTTCCCAAAGACTTCTATGGTCTTCTCGCCCCAAGTCTAGATCTCCACCCATCGGTCCGAGAAAAGCGGAAAACAAGAATAAAATAAGAAACGAACAGCCCAATAAAAACAACAAAAAGCAGAAACGATCAGCAAAAGACAAAGAGTAATTGAAAAAAAAACAAAAAAAAACAAAGAACTCGGCCGACCGAAAAAAAAAAAAAAAAAAAGCACGAGGTGCCCCCGCCTCAGTCGCCGGTCCGGTCGGGGTCGTCTGCAGACCGGTCGTGCCCCGAGAACGCCTTGGAGCGCGCTTTCTCTCTAAAGAAAAAAGGGCAGATAGCTGTAACGAATGGAGGATATTGAGGGGGGTGCCCATTAAGTATCCATTGGATGTGACTCACAACCATTGCTTTCGAACTGCTGGTATAGTCTTCCAACTATTTTTAGCCGCTGTTCTCTGGTTTGGGGGCAGGATTTGGGGTGGGAGTGCTCTGTTGAAACACCTCTTTTTTTGGGAAAACCAGTTGATTCTCCTTCTTTGGGCCAAAGAAACTGGAAGGGTTGACCAGAAATCACCCACCAGGCCCCCTCCACCCAGAAGAGAAAGGATGGCTTTCTCGCAAAGGGCGCCACGTCATATGGCCTTTATGGGGCTTGATTCTCATAAAGATACATAAAGGCTCTTCTTCTTCCGCCCCCTGTGCTCCCACTCCCTTCCCGTGGCTCTTGACCCATGTCAGAGGGACTTGCTAGACCTGCGCCTCACTCCCTGCACCTCACCTGACCTGCTGCATGGACCTGCTGCCATCGGATTCCTTTTTCGCGCGAGCCATGGTTGGCGGTGAAAACGGCCCGGCGCAAGGGGCGGTCATTTAAGCAGCTCCCGAGGTGGAATCAGGCAGGGCATGAGAAACGGGAAATGCATTTGATCGGAACCGAAAAACGGGATGCTCCTGCAGATGTCCTCCGGAAACATCTAATTTTTATGTGTGAGAGTAGAATAAAGTAGACATACTCTCACCCAAACTAGCAGAGCAACCACCCAAGAAAAACATCTTCAAGACCCATCGGTTGCTTGCTGCGTTGCTTTGGGGGGAGTCTTCTTCCCTGAGCCTGTCAGAGACACGACAACATTCCTATACCCAGATAGTCTGTTCCTGAGTTGTGAGAAAGTGGGTAGAAGTGGGTTTGCTGGTTCACTGTGGAAGAATGATAAGCTGATTTCGTCCCAACCACAACTTCGGTGCATCGAACATGTCGCTCGATTTCAGGATTCGCTTTCGAACGAACCAGCCGACACATCACTGGAGTCGGGGAACTGAGGAACTCCACATCACTCAAAACCAGTGACAGGTATACGAGGTATATACCGTGGTTGATCGACCTCCCGCGGACCGAGGTCCAACAAAAGCGTTTCATGCGCTGCTGCGCTGCGCTCTGTTTCCAGGTTGAGTACCGGATCGGCCCACCCTGGAGCACCAGCGGGAGCGAATTCGGGAGAAAATCGGTGGAAAACCAGGGTCGATGGCCTCAGCACTCCGCTCACCTGGAGCCCTGTAGCTCTTGAAAAGGGTCGATGGCCTCAGCACTCCGCTCGGCGGTGTCTTGTCGAGCTCGGCGTGTCTGTCGTGTCCACCCGCGACGGCGGCGTTGGCGACCGCGGAGGTAGGGACTGGGGGGGGTGAAGGTATGAACAAGCGAGACCGTGGACTGTCTAATTGTAGACTCTTGAGGACCATAAACCCCCCCTTTGAAGAGGATGTTATTCAAATGGGGGGGGTGTACTACATCAAGAGTCGACTACATCATTATATAAGTCTTTGGCGCTGGGAATGGGCCTGAGAAAAAGGTTCCAAGGTGTTTGAAACGGTCTGGCGTGCGTGGATCATGGCATAAGGGTACCTACAAGTACAGGTGGCCAAACGGACGTGTGGTCATGGTCCAACAAACTGTTTTGCGACCCGAACACAGGTGGTTTCTTGGGCACCAGACAAGCGTCACCAGGAAACACCTGCTGAAGGATCCAAGTAAAAGCTGCAGCTGACCCCTTTGGGTGTTCGGTTATAGTACATTCGGTTACTCTGCGACCCTCCACCTCTTGCAGAAGCCAAAAATTATTCCTCTCGCCCATGCACACGTGAATGCCAAGTCACGCGGTCACGCGAACACGAGCGTCTGGGCCTCTCAAGGCAAAGCCTCGTTCTTGATCTCCTTGCAAACCTCCGCATCTGAATCTTTTTCACCCCAAGGAGGTTGGGTGGTCGCTGGGTTTAGGCTTGATGTTAGCCTCAAAATCACTCAAACAGCAACTTTGTACTTCAAGCATCTTAAGTGCCGGACTCCGTATTGGAAGAAACCGTTTCTGGGTTGCGACGAGCAAAACGGGTTCATCTGACAGTAATGAGAGCGTCATCCTGAATACTCGTATAGATTGGAAATAGCCTCTGATGAAGAATCCTTCGTTCCAACATGCCCAGATCTGCTCCGAAATGTTCCGCAAGGAACTCTGCCCTTTCCCAATTCCAGCTACAACTTCAACAAATCCCTGTAAGAAGGAATCCCAACACATGTTGTGATCGAAGCCTCTTCGATCCATGGTACTGTTTTGTGTGGAAAAGTAAAAACACGTCTTCTTCCATCATCTTCCATCCTCTAACCCTACCCGTCCTACCCCCTTCCACTTCTTCCGCTTCCGCTTCGTGACGTCGTAGGGCCTGATGATTGAAGTAGACTTTCATCCACTCCACGTTGCAATCGCTCATCTTCACCTCCGTCTGAGAGTAGGAAGCAGCTATACTTACAAGGCCGAGCTCGGCCGCTCGGCCACCTCTGTCATCTTCTTTCGGATCGCATGGGAACACAACGGTCAAACCAGGGCTGAGGTTGAAAGAAGAACACACAAAAACAAAAAAACGAATTCGTTCTCACCATCTAAGCTAAGCGAAGAAACAGCCCACATCTATCCGGGGGAACTTTCAACAAGCATTGTTTTGCCATAAGGATTTTAGACTACAGAACCAGGTCAATCATTTTACTGGGTCGAAGGCGAGGGCCGAGGGGGTTCCGGTCACCAGAGCTCGGCAGATCCTTCACGAAGCCGCAAGACGCAGATCTCAACCGCCCCGCCTCCGAATTGGTGGAGTTGTCCTGGCAGGACATCAAGTCTCCCATTCCCATCTTCACTCCCTAAAGCCTCGTCTAAGTCGGCCGCCCCCGCCGTTTCGAAGATGATGATGGTGGGTGGGTGCCAGGAGGGTCTCACCACCGAATCTGAGGATATGGGACAGGAGACCTTCGTTTTGGAAGGGTTGTTCTGCCATCTTCGGGCCATTAGGAGGGTCGTTCGTGCTTCTGTGCTACGGCGGGTCCAGCTGGCTCGGCTGGGTCTGCTGAACTCCGCGTGATGGGCGGAAGAGTCTTCCTTATGATAGATGCCAATTTCTGCCGAAGAGTTTGTAGGACCTCTTCGATCTCAAAAACCTGTTCACAGGAATGTCCCAAGGGATCCCAAGGGTGTATAATTCTCGTGAACTTGTTCACACAAGGGCCTGTTCTGCTCATGCCCGTTTGTTCGCAGCATCCTTAAGCATTTGAAATCCGATCCTTGCAGTTCCCACGAACTGTGCCAACTCCCTGCGAGCTTGCAGAACGCTCGGGCCGTCCTCGTTCCAGCTGCGGAACATGATCCCACCGTTCGGTTCCAGGATCATCTCAAACCGGAGGCTATCTCAGTTGATGGAAGCGACCCGACAAAAAGGGGACGAAGGGGAGTTCGTCAAAAGATGAAACCTATATGTAGAATGTAGTATAGAGTGTATTGTCAGCGCACTCTGGATATTCATTTGTTTCAAGTTTGGTTTGTTACAGGACTTGGACCGGGGCATGGACCGGGCAGCTTGGAGCCTCCCTGCCAACAAGGCAATGGAACATGTGTGGCAGTCTGATCTTCTGCCCCATGACACATTTTGTGGCGCACACCTGCTGCTACGTGCCTGTTTGATCCGTTTGAGCATCCCAAATGAACCCCCCCGCCCACAAGAATCACGACACTCCTTCGTCGTTCCTGAGTTCCAGGACCCAAGAATACAGTCACGTCAGTAGGATGTGGTAAACAGAATTTGATAGCTTCAATACATAGGCGTCATCTTCCAGAAAGGATGTCAAGAATCACTCACCATAATGGTGTCACATTTCTTAACATCTGTGCCATAGCTCATAGTACCTTTAATCCTCCAAACCATGTCCGCAGTTTTTTCTTGCTTCATCTTGGTCCCTGCACCCCGGTGCCTACACCCTTCGTCGGTTGAACAAAACCGATGGCTGCTGGCTTGTTGTTGTTTCTCACCGTCATGACGAGAAAGCGGACAGTTCCGGAGGTGTCCGGAGTCGGCTCAACTGCCAAGCTTCCAGAGTGGTATCCCTTCATCAAGTTCCCGTGGAGTTCATGGCGCTCAAAATGCATGGGAGGCTCCTGGGCGAAGAACCCGTGTGCTTTTGAGCGGGGAAAGAAGTACATCCCCTGACCTTTCCCTTGACCCGGTCAACGCAATGGTGAAAACCTAAGTCTAAGTCATCTGAATTTAGCAGAAATCTCGATAGCCTCTATAGCTGAACTGGTTCTTCAAAACATGACTCAAAGACACTTATATAGCTGTCTGAAGCCTCGAGGGGCCAACAAATGGATTTGCAAACGTGGTGATCAGTTCTTTGGCATCGTCTCAAAAAGGCACAGGAACTAGCACTGTACCCCAAAGGAAGTCTGTTGAAGACCTCAAAAATAGACACCCAAAGACCATGTTTGCAAATCGACTTGGCCATGCGCGTGCGGGACGATGTTCCGACCCTGCGGCGCTTCGCGCCGCTTCCATCGAGCACGTTCGTCTTTAGAGGGTGCTTTGGTTTCATTGGCACAGGATGGCACAGGCACCTGCTGGTGCCAGGGGTGGTCTCAGAATGAAGACACACCGAAGCTTCAACCTCAAGCTTCGTTCGCTGGAGGAACCCTCCGAAAGAATCCGAAAGACAGGTGACGGTTCTGCTGGATGGAATGACACCCCTCTAGACTTGGCTTCTGCCCTCCACCTCCAGCTCCATCTCGAGTCAAGGCACATGGTCCGCCAGCTGCTTGAACGCCCGATGCACCAAGGGCATCGACCGGAAGATCCGGGCCTCCTCCATGCTGCCTGCGCGAGGCGCAGGGAGGCCCTTTTTCGGAAGGATGAGGAGGGAGGACAACCCTGAAAAAGGATTCGGTTGGATGGAAGGAAGGGAAGGGAATTCCATATGTCTCAAAAAAGTTCGCAATGACCTGCAACATGGCCTGGAAATGATTGTGTGAAACACATCTGAACACATCGCTGATCAGAAAGTCCTTTTTGGGGGGAGTAGCTACACAGCTCCCTACTTCCTTTGTCACACTCAGATCCTGTGGACTCAACATGTTTGAAAAGCCCGCTGTGCCTGAAAGGCAAAAGAAAACATGAGACCTGGGCATCCAGCTTGAGCTGGCACAGTTCTTTCCACAGAAGTCATTCTGCTAGGAGTCCACATCAGGAAAACCCAACTGGATCTTACATTGATCTTTACCCTCCCAGAAGAATTGGTCCAGTCTCACCTCCAAAACTCTTCCAAAACGGTTCGGTCCTTCCACCAGGTCGGTGTTCCCTCCGCCTGCGTACTTCTCAGCCACAAAGTGGAGCTTCAACTCCCCGGCGGCATCGAAGAGCGGCGCCGGATCGAAACCGTCCTCGGGGCCGCTCGGCACGCTTGGGCTCCCCAGGGCATCTGGGGCGGTGCCGAAAGAGGGAAAAAGGAAGCGTTCGGAGCTTCCCCAACCCATACAGTAAGATGGCGTCCGTTGGCCCATGTTCGAACTCAGCGGCCCGGCCTCGGTGACGCCCCGCTGCAAGGCGCGGCGCAGCGCGGCGCCGTTCGTGGGCGCCGCCAGGTTCGCCACGAAGCCGGCCACGCGCGAGTTCCGGGGGCGGCCGCCTGGCGGTGCAAACCGCCGCGCTCGTGGGGAAGGACGGATGCGGGTTGGGGGGGTGGGGCGGGGGGGCCCGCAGCAGTCATGGAGTTCGAACCCAGAGGTTCAAACCGGGTGTTTGCTGGTGGGGGCAGGTATCCATCTTGGAGGATGGGGAGTCTGAGAAAGGCTGGACCAGTGACGATGAATCTGCACCGAAAGCACCAAAATGTCAGAGGGATACTGAAGGGTTCAACCCGTGCGTGCTTTTCTTGACGGCGTGTCACGGGTAAATCGCGGGTCTATCACGGGTTCCGGCTTCTAGAACAGCACTTGACCCGGTGTTTTTCCCATTTATTTTGACAATATAATGGATCAAATCAGATCCTTCGAAGCCCCCTTCGAAGCCTTCGTCCAGGCCCTCAGGCTTCAAATGCTGAAGCCCCCTTCGAAGGCCAAAACTCTTAGACATATGATGGGCAGGAAATCCCGCTTTTCTCGTGGAAACCCTGTGTTTTGTCGCATGGAAGACCACCATGCTGGCCATGCGGTGCAAATCCTCCCCACTTATAGTAGCCCTTGTCTCATCCCCACATCTTTAGAATCTTCGCCCAGTCATACCAATACCATGTCATACCGTCATACCATACCTTCGCCCAGTCATCTCTTCGTGTTCCCCATTTTGTTCGTTGCGCACCCAGACAGCCGCACTGGAGTGACTGGAGTGATCGGTGATCGGCCGCACCCAAACAGCACCAGGCCTGGGGAGACAGGAAAGATCGCTACCTCCTCTTCTCCGGTGTTCCACTCGATGCCCAGGAGCACCACATCCCAACCCTGAACACCTCGGACGCGCCGCGACAACACGTCGCGCGACGCGTTCGACGTCTGATAGGAGAGGCTCCCTTTTGGGAGAAAAACCCGTAGGGATTGGGATCCTGTTCTTTCTGGAAAAATAGACTATATATCTACAATCAGGGATTCCGTTTCAGAGTCATTTCTGGCCAAGGTCCTTCCTGGTGATGGTTCCACTACAGTACACGTGTTCTTCCAAAAAAGGAGGGGCACGTGACTTGCCTTCCAAGGCCAGGTTCGTGAAGAAGCCTCATGAAGATCCGTGAAGAAGTGGCTTCTCCAGGTGCCACCCCACGCCCCGCTATCTGCTCCCAGTGGCCGAGCTGGTCCAAATGCCCTGGCAGCTCCTGGCAGAACTGAAAGCACGACCAGACTCTTGCGGAATGTCTAGACTGTCCAGATCCACCCTTCAGGGAAGGCATTCATGTAAGCTTCAGAAACATCTGAGATCAGTTGGTTTCTGCCTCAGCCAAGCAAGGTGTGCGTGTGTGTTTTAGATGCTGACAAGGAAGTCAGTAGTTGGTCGGATTTGTGTTCTTGTTTGCACCCTTCCAGTAACTTGCAGTGTGTCTTAAAGATCTTGCAGTAAACCCAAGACTCCAGCACATCCATGTCATTGCCCACTAAACTCGTCAGTCCGACAAACAAACGAAACGGCTCAACTTCAGCCTGTGCAGGACAATTGCAAGCCATCGAGCCGTTGCAAAAGCAGATCCGGACACAATCAAGAAACGAAGATGGCGACGTTGGAACGTTGGAACGTGATGCATGAAAAAAAAAGACGACCGTCGTTCATGGGCTCTGCAGAGTTAAAAAATAAAAATGCAGCCTCTGTATGCCGTCGATAGGCGGTTGCTTAATCAAAACAACAGTTGAATTATGTTGAACTAATTTTGTTTAATTAGAAATGTATAGCGTTGTAAAAGCTCAGCAGACCTGGGGGCTTGCTTTATGAATGAAATAACCATCTATACATACATCACCTCCCTGTTCTTCTTTTTCTCTCTTCCTCTCCCACCGCCACGGCCCGCCGCACGGCGCCTCGCGCAGGCGGGTCATCTGAAAGAACTCCCGGTCCGTCAGGAAGAGCGCCTTCGACGAAATACCTGAAGGCGCCGAAAAGAACCGCGACGTGCGGTGCGTGGCGGCCGGGGCTGGTGGATGGTTCAAGCGGATGATGGTCGGATGATGGGCGACGTTCGTGGTTCAAGCAAGTCCTGTGAGATGGATTTTGTGAGGTCTCTTGATCCGGCTGTTCTGCCCACCAGTGGACCAAGGACCAATGATGTCTGTGCAGCGACCAGCTTTCCAAGTGGATCCCATTCCTTCCAAGTGTCGAGATGGAAAGACTTACACCATTATAGACCTGGAACCTGAATTGACCTTTATTTTGGATCATCAACCACCCAAAATATGGTCTTTTCGTATCAAAACAGAGCTTTACTGGGTTCAAGGTAGTTAATAGATTGTTAATAGTTTGAATCTCGCACAGTTCCTTTTCGCAGCAGCGAATCAGCTCAAGGGCCCTGTTCAGCCGAAACAGCAGCGACGGTGCATCAACTGTACGCAATACACCCTGGCTACAACAGCTGAAATTCACACCCGTCTTATCTACAGGTGTGTTGCGGGCTTTACAGTTCAAGTTGTACAAAGGCAGCCAAGCAACTCTATTCCCCGTGGGGCCGTAAACCATGCCATTCCATGTCGAATTCTCAAAACAAGTCAGGTGAGACTTCTTCATCTTTCTTCTTGGCTCCCTTCTCGCATGCGCCACTGTTCTCGACATTCACAAGGCCACTTTCCAGTGTCTTGAGGAGGTAGTCCGGCTTCATGCTCTTGGTTAGCGGGTCTGCCAATTGCTTCGATGTCTCAATCCACCTCAGGTGGTCACCATAGGGACTGTAGATCTCTGATGTTCTCTCGCCACTCACAGTCCATACCCCTTGCCTCAATGCGGCAAGTTCTATGCCAAGCCTCTTGTCTTGTACCTTTCTTGGAACTTCTGCCAGTAAATGGTCCGATAAGCTCCTGCAATCCGTGTAGTACACGTGTGCCATTCGCCTCTGGGTTTCTTCATGCCAGCTCTTGAAGTCATTAAGTCGTCCGGTCAACTCACAAATCAGGCATCGTAGGCGGTCTCCATGTTCGACTGCAGTTTGCAGAGCATATGCTTCTGCTTGCAATGTAGCACGACACACCCTTTTGAGGGTAGTTGAACCAAAGCTGATCAGATGCATTCTGTGACTGCCTTCCTTGAGGCTGCTCGCATTCGTTATGTAGTGAATGCGGCCTTGCTGACTCTTAAAGCCTTCTTCGTTTGCGAAACTTGCGTCGCTAAATGTCACAACTGCCAGATCGCTCCAGTCAATCCAATCACTCTTGAAGGTGATCTGCAAGTCACTTCCTTGAAGTGCCAATTCAACAACCTTGTTGGCGTTCTTCAAGTCTTGCACTGTTGCCTTTGCGCTACATGCACGCTGCATCTCATTCACACGGTAACAAAGGTCTGGTCTTCCATAACGGGCAACCCAAGCCAAACTACCAACAACGCTCCTGAGGCTTGTCAACTCCTTCTCTGTCACCTTTTCCGACAGCTTCCGATGCTTGTCGATTTCGATCGGCTTCACTGTTCTGCAGTTTTCACTTGTAGAAATGCTCACGGAGTAGTCCTCATGCTGTACGAACTGACGTCCGCAGTATCGGAACTTTCCCGATTCTGTTTTGCCAATCGTGAACCTTTTGAGTATACCTTCAATTGTCTTCTTGCCTTCGTCAAGGTAGCAATACAACAAGTCGTCGACATGTGTCGCGACCATGCCTATCAACTTTCCCTTGGAATTGTGCAAATAGTACAATGCAGGTGTAATGCGACTGCACTTCAACCCGGCACTGGTGATCTCACCATTCATCCTCAAGTAAAAACCTCTGCCTGCGTCGATCGTGCCATAGATCGGAAGGCGTGCAACTAACATTGCATCCGGTGGAACATCCGGGCTTGGAATTCCACCACGTGGCTGTTTGAGCAACAGCAACCTCGTCATAGGTTGACTTTGAAAATACGCTGAGGAAACATCTGCCGCATATAGGGTCACACGATGGCTTGATGCGAAGCTTGCAATCAACATGTGTCCTTCAGTCTCAGCAGTGGGGCTATCGCAACGAATACCCTGTGAATCACGGCTCACTTGTTCGTGATTTCCACAAGCTACTAACCGAGATCTGTTTTCTGGCCGATGTTCAGGCGTACCTGTCAGATGAGCTTGCTTATCCACATCTACCCATTGCATAGGAATAGGAACATGCCCTTCTTGAAGTAACTCCTCCAATTCCTTGCCTCGAATAGGCATTGCAGCATTGAAGCTCCTATATTTGCTCCACTCTGCACGACGTGCATCCAAGATGCGGGCTTGCATCTCGGGAGTGCATCGGTCGTATTGCAGCGTCTTTGCCACCTTGCCAACCTGCGTCTCACTGTTTTCTCCAAAGCGTTGAGCCACAAAGGCTCGAAACTCTGCAGCATCGAGTTCAGTGTCGTCAGCAGCGGCCATGGCGATCAACGGGTGTTTTACCCGTGTAAAGATTGTGAAACCTGTCCATGCGCGAGAATCAACATCATCCATGCCCGGCATGGACTCGCTGGTCATTCGACTTCCGTCTTCATAGACTTTTCTGGTTACGCGTCTTCCTCCGAATCCTTCCGGAACATCTCCGTCATGCAGCGGATGAAAGTCATGGAATCTCCTCTTGTTGTGAACACGAATTGCATGATTCTCAGAGATTCTCCAATGATCTTCATTGTCAATCATTGCGAGCATGACCTCATCATCACCACCAATGCCTCCGGGGGTCATCGGAACTGCGACTGCGCTTCCACTCGCGCTTGCAGATGATCGGGCAGCCTTGCCCGTCTTATCTTCTGCTTGTGCTTCTCTCTTTTGTCCCTTCTTAGGGCTTGCTTCTTCGTCCATCATTCGGATGTACTTCTGCTGTCCCAATGTCACTGCCTCCGGGAAGACTGGGATATTGTTCAAAATAGAGTAGGCCAAAGATTCACTCTCATTGGCTGATCTAAGTTTTCCGGCAGCACACAAAATAGGAATACCTTCATGTAGCAACCAGATGCCATTGTGCGGGTCGATGCCAATCACACGCGAAGCAGTGGACCACACGGTTCCACCTTGCTGTGTGTCTCGACGATAGACCACAAGGTCTCCAACCACAAATGACTTCTTGTTCTGGACTGCGGCATTCCTGGTCAATGCTCTTGCAACACGGGAACTTGTATCCAGATGGATGAATGCCTTTTGTGCAGCCATACGGGATGCGTGACACAAATGATAGCTTGCTGCAGGGTCAAACTTGTTCTCCAAGATGCCCAAGTTTCCTGCCTCATCCATATCTGTCACAGATCCTGGAATTCTTGGGTTCCTTCCCAGGACCCATTGTGCTGGAGAATAGCCTTGGACTCTTTGCATGTGATTCTTCACGGAAGTGCACTCGTGCAAACATGTTTCAAACGCATTGCGACCAACGGCTTCCATGTCATGGATGGTCTTCCTGAGAATTGCCTTCAAGATACCTTGGTGCCTTTCAACCTTGCCAATGGCTGAAGGGGTTTCCAATGGTGCATAGAAGATCTCAACACCGTGCGAAGCGAACAGCTTGGATACCTCACCTCGGTTGTGGACACCTCTATCCATGATTGCGGCCTTCGGAAAACCTGCCCAACTGATCCATCTGCGAAGGATAGCTTGTGCACAGGCTTCTGACGTTGGCATACCTCCACCTTCTTTGACAACCTCTGACAAATGGAATCCTGTCGAAATGTCTAGCATCGTGAGAATGCTGTACTTGCTTCCTGCATAGTCCTTCATTTCTGTGACATCAAGACCAAGCATGGCATTGAACTCATACTGGAAATTACTATTTCCTACCGGATGATCACGGGGACGTGGTGCAGTGTCTTCGCAGGACTGACAACGGACAAGACGTGCAGCTTCGATCAACTCCTTGCTTGCCTTACCTGCCTTTAAAATATTCTTCAAAGTTGACGGTGCGGGATGTCCGAACTGCCGATGCAAGCGACGAATTGCAATGCGAGTCCTCTGGGGGAGAGCACGCCACAGTCGTCTCCGTTTCTGTTCCGTCATGTCGGCTCCGGGCAATGCAAGTTGATCTAGCATGAGTTCTTCCTGTTCTCTTGCCGTCAACGGTTTTCCATCATCATGTTTGGTTTCCTGAAGAACTCCCTCAATGTCACTGTCCTCAATTTCAGAGATGTCTTCGAGTTCGTCTGCGACAAAACATGTCCGTGCAAAATGCTCCAAATAAGTTTCTTCTGACATGGTGTTCAACATCTCTAGGAGTCTTGCCGATTTCGCGTCTTCGAAACATTTTGGAATCATGTTCTCTCCGCACCAACCTTCCAGCGCCTCCAAGATCTTGGGGCTTTGTGGACCTGCCAAGGCAAACTCTAGGTCACCACCAAGGCAAATGGAGTGTTCGACAGATATCTCGAGAAGTGGTGTGAAAAGAAGAAGGTTGCAACCATACATGTCGACTTCCATGAGCATATCATTCCAAATCCTCCTGGGGTCCGTGTTCTCCAAAAACAGTACAACCAAACCAGGGATCTTATTTGAAATGTGCTTGATGACCTCCTTGCGGGTCTTCACCCAGTTTGCACCTACATCGAATATCTTTGCACTCTGGGGTGCATTGATCAACATGTCATCCTTGACAATGACCATGTGTTGCACACTCAACGGGTTGTTCGAAACTAGTGCGTGCAAGACTGAGTCATTCTCTTGCAAAGTCTGCAGGCCGGCGACAAACACTTGTTTTTCTCCTTTGTTCATAGTCCGGTGATCCAGAGCTACGAATGCGTGACCATCGCTGTCGGAGCTCAGCTCGATCTCCCCTTGGAAGCGGCTCATGATGAACTTGTCTCGGTCGAGCACCTCACGCGAACTGGTCGGACGATCCGGAGTGCTTTGTGTACTCATGGTGACTACGTCATCGTCTGACAATTCCTCTTTGGGTGCGTTCGACAGATCGATAGCGGTGCAGCCATGGAACGGTTCAACAGGTTCAGCATCAAGTGCAT